ACCTTGTTCCCAATGTAGATCTTAGTCACCTCATCTGGCTGGGGGGGGGCACACACCATTTTGTGGTTCTCCTCAGGTGTCAAAATATCTTGGTCCGGCCCTGGATATTTGATTCCTCATTCCAGCATAGCGATCTTGTGTGGCCAGTGGATGTTACATAACAATCTGCTTAATGCTTCAATCTAACCATATGATTAGCTCAAACCGTAAATAAAATTCGGTGCATGCCTGGAGTGTACGATTAAGTGCTTTCCAGGACAGGAGCCAAGTCTTGCAGCACTTTATGAGACTCTCTCCTGTTCTAGACTGACTGACTGAGCAAACCTCTGGAGCACCTGCTCAGGGATATCTAAGCTCACTTAGCTTGTTGTACACAGAGCTAAAGGGAAAATAAAAATTACAATGCCGTGGAAAGATAACCCAAATTCTTCACTAAAAAGAGCTGAATCCCACAACACCCATGAGTGAATTTATCTCTCCTTTCTTCTCTTTAAAGTAGTCATGGGGGGAGAGAGGCAAAGGACTAGGGCTGGTCATCAATGTACCACACCAGGAAATTCCCTTCAACAGCTATGCAGATTGCTGCCCATGCACTTTCTGCTATCTTCACCTTCATAAGCTAAGATTTTGAGCCCAGTACCACATCCTGTGCTTTTCTGCACTTGTGTGGATTCCCCCAACCCTACCACAGTTTAACCACTAACTTATTGTTTCTGTTGGTGGGTAGTTCTTTTGAAGACTGTTGCTCCTTCAGTCCCCGGGTGCCTTGCTTTTTTTGTCCAGCAGAGAGGCAGAACGAAGTCAGGCACATGGAACCCGGTTTTGCTTTCTTCTATCTTTTATATCTGGCCACTTTCCCCCTGTATTTAAGAGAACAGCTCTATTTAGTGTCTCCTTTCTCTGTTGAAGAAAAAGTAAGGGTTTGCTTGGAGGGTGAGCGGCTGGTGGCATCTCTCTCCTTGTCAGGAGTAAGCAGTATACTCCAAGTGGGTCCTTTAGAAACTGATGATTTCCCTCGCCCCCATTGCATAAAGACTGTAAGAATTCTAGTGTGAGAGTGCCTCTGTAAATATATGTTTAGGGGAAAAAATCTGTGAATTGAAATAAGCCTATACTCCAACTAGGCATTTTGGAACTATGATTCAGGCTAATTTTCATCTAACATTATATTATCATTATTATTTTACCTAGAATGAAGTTATATTTCTTTCCAAATAACTTATTGGTTTTCATGTAAATACGAGAACAACATAGAACTACAGTAACCTGTCCACTGGTACATTAAATTTCATATGCAGTACACAGTACACAAGCAATATGTTTATTTATGCCTTATCAATTCAAGTATCCTCAGTGTAGCTTGGAAAATGTTACAGTTTCAGTAATAACAATCCAATTTGATTGAGGTGTGATTGACTAAGCAGTGGTGCGTTGCAATCCGCCCTCATTTCTGGAGGAGCCATTAGCTCTAACTCAGTAATAGCGAAACAAAGCTGGAAATTTCTGTCATTATCTATGCCATGTCCTGTTTTGAACAGACACTGCATTTCTCACTGTGTCTTGTTTGCATGCGAAAAAGATTTGAGCAAGCACTTATTTGCATGCAAAAGATGAAGCTGATAAGTGGGAAAACACCCCAATTACCCCTTCCTGGTTTTTTTTTTAAAAGGAAAAGTAGCCAGCACCTTTTACATTCATCAGACCAGAAACATGTATTTGCATTCGCAAGGCAAATAGTAGGGGCAGGAACATCTGGCGTGGGTAGATGACTTGTGACCCCAGGCTGTTGTGGAGCTGGCCAGGGAAAAGGACACCAGGCACCCTTTGGAAGAAAAGCAGACCACAACACAACTTTAGCAGTAGCATAGCAGGAAAGGATTATTTACTTATTGTTCCATGTCACCCAAATCTCCAAGAGGTGCAAGCAGTGTTCGAAATTAACCCGTCGCCAGTCACTTTTTGCAGCTCAGGGCTGCCACCTAGTGCTCAAGTCAAGATTTGCAGTTGCGTGCTTTGTGACTGGCTGTGTTGAAAACCTGACATCGCCCTAGTGTGTTGTCTGCTTTCTGAACCCAAGTCTAGCCTTTCCGGGAGATGAGTTAGCAAAGTCTGCTGATGACACCAAGTTGTCTGTGGTAGTTTTTAACTAAAAGTGGCTGTGGGGTGCTCCAAACTGGATGAATGAGTATTAAAATGATAAATCTGATTCGGTGTTAACAAGTGTAAAGTGATGCATGCTGGGGCAAAATATCCTGACATTACATATAGGATAATGTGGTCTGAGCTGGTGGTGGCTGACCCAGCTGAGGGTCCCAGTGGATAGCTCAATTAAGAAGTTGACCCAGGTTGTGGAAAATGACTGGAAATGGAACTGGAAATATCATAAAGGCCTTATACAAGTCTATGGTGCAGCTGCACTTGGAATACTGTGTGCAATTCTTGTCACCACATCCCTTAAAAGCAGACATGTCCAACACGTCAGTCCCGATCGACGAGTAGATCCTGCAAAGAATTCTAGTCGATCACCACCCACCCTCCACTGGAGACGTTGGGAGGAGCTATTGTGACGCTGCACATGCACCCACCCCTGCCCTGTCCGTTGCGCGTCTGCCCACCCTGCCCCCACCCCTGCCCCCTCAGGAGAAGCAGCCATCACCCACCCACTCTGCACCCATCCCTGGGTGGTAGATCACTGCCAGTTTTTATATTGGATCGTAGATCACAGCCGACCTCAAGTTGGACCTGCCTGTCTTAAAGGATATTATAATGCTGGAATTTTTAAAAGAAACGATAGAGCATCACCCTAGTTTTTTAAAAGATTTGTGTGTGCTCCTGCACCATTTACAGGGATGTGCTTTCCTTTGCAGAAATAAAAACATTAGAACTTAAAAAATAATCATGTTATGTGGGTATGATGGACAGAATGAAACAATGTCCTTCACTGGCAGCTCCACCTCTCACAGAAGCCGTGATTTTGCAAACTGAAAGGAAAAGGTTCACCCTAGTGAGAGCCAGTGTGGTGTTGTGGTTAGAGTGCCAGTAGGACTAGAATGTGGGAGACCCGGGTTCAAAGCCTCACTCAGCCATGAAGTTCACTGGATGTTACTGTCCTATACATGCCTAAATTTAAGTCCCACTGTGCCCTCTGTATGACCTGTTTTGATATGGCTGGTTTCAACCCTTCAAATATCACAAATTGCAAAAAGAACCAAATAAATTATCTACACAAAGTTGTTCAGAAATTTATAAAGATACAGGTTTTGGCAACTTACCCCCTGTAATTTTGTAAAAGAGGATTGGTTTTCATGTTTGCTAGAATGAAACTGCAGTCACATCTCTTCTAAACTGCTTTCCCATTTGATTGCTTCTTTGTTTTAAAGAATTTGTCTTTTGTGCACAGCGTTTATTCTATCTTCAGCTAGCTCCCTCATCTTGTCATCATTTGATTTGTAATGTTGTAGGGGGAAAACATGCCTAGACATATTGTTGTGGTGACCATAACTAGGCAATTACTTTTGCATCTTAATTTTTCGCCAAAGAATGAACATGCATGTTTTAAATGTGTCAGGAATTGCCTTGCAATAGATTACTTTATACATCCATACAAGGAGAGATGGTGTTCTGTTCAACCTGCACATCTCCATGCCAAGGCAAAAGTGTGGTGGATCTTTATCCAAGAGATGTTGTTTGCAGATGACACTGCCTTGACAGCATACTCTGAAGAAGCTCTACAGAGACCCATCAACTGTTTTGCCCAAGCCTGCAGGGAGTTCGGACTTACCTGCAGTCTGATGAAGACCAGGATGTCACCAGCACCCCACACATCAGCTTTGATGAGCACACACTTGAAGTGGTAGACAATTTTGACTGTCTGGGTTCCACCATAACCAGCAATCTTGTCATCAACACTGAGCTGGACAAGTGTATTGGCAAGGCAGCTATGACAATGGCTTTCCTCACCAAAAGGGTATGGGGGAATGTGATGCTAATGTCCAATACTGAGATGAAGGTCTACCAGACTTGCGTGTTAAGCACGCTGCTTTATGGAAATGAGTTGTGGGCAACTTACAACCAACACCTTCCACATTCACTGCATCAGGAGGATTTGGGGTATCACATGGCAGGACAGAATTCTAGGCAAAGATGTGCTCTCCCAAGCCCACATCCCTAGCAGGTTTGCACTCCTGTCTCAGTGACGTCTACGCTGGCTTGGTCATGTCCACAGAACGGAAGATGGCAGGATCCCCAAGGATGTGCTCTGCGGGGAGCTGGCTTACTGGCAGCAGGCCAACTCTGTGTTACAAAGATGTCTGCAAATGTGACATGAAGGCTGGCAGCGTCAATCCTGCCATGTGGGAATCCCTTGCAGATGATCTCAGTGCCTGGAGACAGGTAGCCAAGTCCATGGCAATGAATAGAGAAGAAATGACCGCTGGGAGGAACACACACAGAGAGAAAGGCATGGTGCATCTGCAGCAGCAGAACTGGATGCCTTAATCTGCTTCCGCTGCAGCATAGCATGTCTCTCTCACGTCAGCCTCTACAGCCACAGCAGACGCTGCAACCTACCAACAGCTTGACTTCACCTTTGACGACGCACCTCCTCCACTATCTCCCAAGACAGGCGGGTGCCAGCTGACAACTGGTTTATGCTGTATGCAGAATCTTGCCATGTGATGAAATGCCTATTTTTTTATTTGGCCAAAGCAGAAACTCTTGGGTCCAATGCCTCTTGGTTTTAAAATGCTAAATCTGACGTTGTGAGTTTTTAAGTACTTTCTCAAATGACCCATTTTAATAACCTGAAAGCTATTATATAACAAGTAACCATAAATTAGTACAAGGCCCTAGGGGGACCCTCACAGTTCAGCAATGAATAGTTAATGTGGTAGAATGTTGAGCAGGTTATTAGTTTTCATTGTACAAATGCTGATCAGGGAATGCTTTTCTAAGGTGTTTAAAAGAAAATATAATTAACTGGTCGTGTGCTTTTGTTGCAGCTCAAATTGAAATTATTCCATGCAAGATCTGTGGAGACAAATCATCAGGAATCCATTATGGTGTCATTACCTGTGAGGGCTGTAAGGTAAGCTTTATATATATATTTAAAAAGTTATATATGAGAGTCAAAAAGTGTGTTTAATCTTTGACTTCGAAATGTGTCTTTTTGCAAGATTACATGTTTGCTAGTTGACACTAATTATCAATAAACCACCATAGACAATTTTTTAAGCATTGTTGTGTTTTTCTCCACTAAAGGACACTTGTCTAAATTCACACTGCTCTTATAGCTTTAAAGACCCAAATAGGTACCTGTTTAGGAACTTAGGGTCGCTCTAGACTGATGCTTTCTTGTGGGTATATTCTGTAGCTTATTCTTGTCACAATAATAGTCCATTAGTGGCGGATTTGTTCTCTTTGTTCTGTGAGGCTTCCCCACTGCTACCACAGCATTGCTGTCTGGAGGGCCTAAATTACAACAAAACCAGGAAAAATAAATAAATTGGATTTCAGCAGGAAGTTATCGGATAGTCACTGATTGGAAATTAGGCGGTGTGACTGCCCCAAAACTTATGCAGGCACAAACAGTATTGAAAAGGAAAGTTTTGGTGTCTTGGATCATGGCCTCTTGTTTCCTTGAGGAAGGACTTCTGGCACCTCACAGCAGTTGGCAAGAATGTGTTTGCCAAGAGTCTTGAGAATCTGATCAGGAGAGCTTTAAACTAGATCTTGAGGGGGAGGGAGACAACATTACAGATGACAGAAGAGCACCTGGTATGGAGGATAACTTCATTGATACACAGGAAACTGAGGTGGTGCTCCAGAAACCTACTAAAGGGCAGGAAACTACAACAGGGAAGCAACTGGAGGGAACAACTCATGGTTTCAGTTGTCTCTGCATAAATGCACAGGATATGGGAAACAAAGAAGATGAGTTGGAGCTTTTAATACAGGATGGCAAATATGACCTGGTAGGCATTACTGAAACCTGGTGGGAAGAGACTCATGACCCCTTCCAGTTCTATGATTCTATCATTCTATGAAATCAGAATTATATATGGCTGCCTCAACAGCATCACAATGAGCACAGACGATTATGAATCTGCATTAAAAAGGATGTATAGAGAGGCTCTTATATAGCCTCTCTTTTAACCTAAACTGGGTCTCAAAATTCTAACTTCTTTTGGGGGCTTCACTGGCTCATGTTTTCCTACAGTGTTGTGATTTTTCCATCTTGTGCTCTCTCCAGGGAGAGATTTCAATAAAAGTTGGTCCTGTGAGTTTCGCTTCTTAAAAACTATGCAAACAGTACTGACCATAACTGTATTTCTTCCTTTATAAAAAGGATATGGAGAGCACAGAGCCAAATACAAATTCAGGAGCTTTCCTATGAAGATTCCTCCCCCCCCTCTCCTGCTTTTACTGCTATTAAGCCTTTGCACAGAAGCAAAACTCTCAGTTGAAGCCTATGCAGGACCCGTTTTAAGTACGATTGTACATATCTACAATTTGTATCTTAGGGAGAAAAAATGCATGCACATAAGGGAGCTTTAAGATTTGGGGGCACCCACCTCCCCTTTGCTCCAGACAGGTTTCTGGTAATCTAGGTCTGGAACCGCTTTCAAGAAGGCATGCAACCCTGCAGTTGTGGTCTGTTTGGTAAAAAACATGGGTACAATATTTACTACCCTACATGTGTTTGAGCCCTGGGTACTTGAAAGTCTATGAAGCTTGTTTTCTCCCACTGTGGAGGGCAGGACTTGAACCAATGGATTCAAGTTACAGGAAAGAAGAACTTTCTGACAGTAAGAGCTGTTTGGCAATGCAACGGACTCCTTCGGAAGGCTCTGAGCTCTCCTTCATTGGAGGTTTTTAAGCAGAGGCATTGCAGGGAGTTTGACTAGATGACCCTTGGGGTCCCTTCCAACTCTACAATTCTATGATTATATTCTATGAATATGCCCCAGAAGCAAGATCTAGGGCGGAGATCCTTCTCAGGGCACCTCCGCATTCCCAGGGACCTTCAGTGGTGGTCTTGTTTATGGAATATCTTCTTCGGGCTTGTTTGGCTGACACTTTCATGACCAGTGGAGAGCAGTTCAATCATATTCCTAAGTCCACATAGCCTTCACTTTCCACAATCCATCTCATATTCCTGCAATAACTAAAGATTTATTGAAGCCATTCTGCTTCCCAAAGTGATACGAGTTAATTGCTCTTCTAACAGTAATAACCATGGGAAAATAATTTTTGATATATTTTTTTATAAATAATTTTTATTAACAGGCCAATCAAATCACATTAATTCCAAATCACATTAGTTCCAAATTATACAGCCAAATTTTTTAAAATTTTATTGGGGGTACCCATACTTCGTGCTCCAAAAGGGAACCAAACATCGCTCTTGCTGCTGCTTTAATTTCACAGTTCTATCCAGTTCTGTCCAGATAGTCTCCTTATTATTTTCCTCATCTTCTTGTTGTAATCATATATTCCTTTCTTTGAGATCTCTGATAATCTTCACAAGGGTTGAAAACAAACATGTCCTGTGTGGATTTTACACTCTCCAGGAACCATATCACGTAAAGGACAGCCGCCATTTCCACACTTCCGTAAACAACATTCTTACAGTCTGTCCGTGATTTCCACCGGCCTACGAAACTGTATCTCAGGGGGGCCCTGCCGGGTCAAATTCACATTCCATAGGGAAAATAATTTTTGAATTGGCAGGTTTCTTCATTGACAAATTTGCTCAAAATGTGTAAAGACCTTCAGTGCTTTTGTTGCTCCTTGTAGTACCTTTTTTAAAAAACCCTCAATCAATCAAGATCCTTTATTAGGCATAGCAAACCACACATTATCAAACAGACACCGTATACAAATTGTGCAAAATGCGAACTCAACATAACAAGGTTTCTCCCAGTCATATCTTTGACTTAAAAAAATAAAATAAAATACTTTATTACTACTTGTACGGCCATCCTTCAACACACATTCCTTGGACAGCTTACAAAATGAGATGAAATACAATATTAAAATGCATGATTACAATTAAAAACACCAAAAACACACATTAAATATATATTTTCCAGCAGAGGCGAATAAAACAAATTTGCAGCTCAATTTACAAAATTAACTGCAGCTTACACAATGAGAACCCAGATTTTGTTTGTTTAAAATGTTGTACATCCTCCTGTCTGATTCTCTTCTGCTGCTTTTGGTGCGTTCCTGTGCAAATTTTTAGGCATTATGGCAGGGAAAGGTTCTTCTGCCAAAGGATGGTAAGCTTCACGGTTTCCGCCACTTCCAGACTGCCGCTGCCTTTATCTGATCAGTGGAAGGCTTGTTTTAATTCTAATTGCTGCTGGATAGGGGGATTTTCACTGAGAGGGAAGGCTCCAAATTCCCTGTTGTGCTGCGATTGCTCTCTCACCTCCACACCTGGTATTTAATTGTTTTAAACCATAATATGGTTGCTAATCACATTTAGAACAGTAGCATAGAGAAGACTGCGCATGTTGTAGCAGTTTGATATTGAGTTATGCAGTTCCCCCTGTAAGGTCATCTTAGGACATTGATGACTTGAAGATCAGTAATGCAATTTTTGCTGAAGATGCCGAAATGGACTTTAAAAGTCTGCATATATTTGAAGTCAATTAAAATTAAACTGGCATATTAAAATTAAATGCAGCCACAAAAGGGCTGCTTATCTGCTGGAAAGAACTTTTCTTCCTGTTAGACATGTGTTTTACTCAGCTTGGAATTTAAATATCTGACTAGTAAATTCTTTAACAGACCAGAAGATGACCAGAAGATACGTATGCTGATCAAGCCACATCAAAAAAATTGCATATCCTGTACTGCCTTTTATACAGTTCACCTAAGGACAGATTTCACTATTCATTTCAAAGTTACAAAGTTTTCTAAGTCAGTCAGATGATTTCAAAATGAGATGATTTGGGACTGATGTAGATCTAGCTACCTATAGGGCAGCTTTATGTGCATGAGCAGCAAGAAGCTTATGTGCTACTTATTTTGACCTCATAAGACTAAAAGTGTTCACTGCCAAGGGTTTATTTAAAAGTCTAAATGATTTGGGGAGCTTTGCCATTTTAAATGCAGCTCTAAAAATTTATGTTTAATATACTCTTGGACTGCCTTTCTGTTTGTGATTTATATTGTGATGGCCAATGGTAACAAATAAAAAAAAACTGACTAATCCCATCATTAATGTGCTGTGGAGTAAGGCCCTCTGCCTCTTCCTTGATTCCTGATTTCCCAGCAGCCTCACCACCTGGGCTAGTCTGTTCCCTCACTGCTCTCCTGAAACTTATTTTTGAACCGGAGTCCCCTGTTATCACAGCGCTGTTGCTTCCCTGCTCCAGCCTTCCCCTGGCAAGACTTCCACAGACCTTAATGCTTCCCGTGGTCTAGTGCATTATATATGTGCAGGATTGTATGTGGGGTGCGGGGGGGGGGGGCTTGTTATTCACCATGTCAATCACAGCAAGTCTATCAGGTCCTGGCTACATAGGTTAGATCAGTGTTTCCCAATTAGTGAATTACTGAGGACCCCCTATTTTTCAAAAGCCAAGCTATGGACCCCCTACTTTTGAAAATTTTGATAACTCTATGCCCTAGCGTAGCTAGGGGGCGGGGCACCCTGGGCGGCACTTATCCTGGGGGCAGCACACTGGAGCCCAAAGTGAAGCACAAGTCCAAGCACCCCAGAGCCCGGCACACCGCCCCCTAAAGCAGCACGGCCCAGGGCTGGCTCTTAGTGCGCTGAGCTCCTGCGTCCCTCCACCAGCTGCTAGAGGGTCGCTGAGAAGGATGCAACTGTCATGTGCTGGCCCTGCAAGCAGCGCTGGACCTGCAGCACACCTGAGCCCCGGCATCTCTCCTGGGGGTGATGTGGTTGCTGTGGCGTCTGCAGGCACCACACTGCCCAAAAAAGCAGTGTGGGGCTTGCGTTCACCCGCCACCTCCCTCTCAGCTGAGTGATTGCAGGGGCCAGAGCTGCCACACCATGGCACTCGCCGCAGGCACCCTCCTGCTGGAGGGAGGCTACATGCACACTGCCGCTCAGCAGCGCTGCCCCAGCTTGCCCCGTCCCCATGGGCGGCACGCCCTGCCCCAAGTGCCCCAGCAGCTTACTACGCTGCTGACTCTGTGGTAGTTACCTCTGCAAAACAATTTTTTGAACAAAATGTGGGGTAGCCCCTAATAAGCAAATGATTTTAGGTATACTAAAAACAGACTTGGGCTGAGCAATACCTCATTTTCAACCTTGTGATATACCAGCAGCTAAACATCGCAATATTCCGTTATATCACAGTGTCTGAAATTGGAGATCAGGTGTGGGCATGAGGGAAGGAGCAGCCACAGAGATTATTTTTGGGTGGGGGGGAGCGGAGTCACCTCCACAACATGGTTTTTTTTTGGGGGGGGATAGGCAGCTGGGCAGCCAGTGGTGGCAGCCAGTGAAGATACACATCCATTGTGGCTGCTGCTGCTGCTTTCCAGGAGAAGGTAGTGCTACAGTGCCTTGAAGTGACGTCAGTGAGGGAAGGCAGCTCAGATCTGGCAGAGATCATTGTGTGATATATTCCTGCATGTTGCCGGGTTAAAATTGTTACTGAGGTGTGATTTCAAAACTGATTTTTGCCAATATTGAAAAATCGCACAGTGGTAAAACAGACCATAAAATTTGTGATATTACCATGCAAAAATGACAAAAAAATAGTTGGGGGGAGGCAAGGGATGGGGCTGCACCCCTAATTGGGAACCATTGAATTAGTTTCTAGAAGTTTGGTGCATTACACATTCACTGTTCATACTGGGTTTTTTATTTGGTATCTGAAAACATGCTCCATTTCTTCTGGCAAGGAGGACTGCCCTTACTAGACTTCTGTGGCAGTAAAATTGTTTTTTGCTGCATTTCACTTGGGAGGCCTAATAATAATAATAATAATAATAATAATAATAATAATAATATTGTTTTCATGGTTTGCAAACATGCCTGGAATTTGGTCTATGGCAACAATCATGCCAGGGAAAAGATGCTCTTCCAGTTGGGGGTTTCAATCCCACGGATATTGATTTGATGGATAGTGCTCCACGGGATAAAGGGGATTAAGAATAAGAGATGCATAGGCAACCCACCTGGCCCATCTGCTGCATGAAACTTTCAGCCAGGCTATTGCCTACAGAGATTCGTGTCACAATAAACCAGCCACTCAGCTGGGTGAGAAGGTGAGAAGAAGATGGAGCAGTTACTGCCTCTGGTCTGATCCAGGCAGGCACTTCTTATGCTCTTAAGTAAGAGCGCATACTTTGTTTGTTTGTTTGGCTATCTTAACTATCAAAACATTAAGATATTACTTAAATATGCAGTCTTGTTTTGTAAAGGTTAAACTCACAATAGTGAACCACAGGAGTCCTCTTCAGGCCTTCTTGCATGTGTGAAGGGGCTCTGACGGACAGCCTAGTCCTAACCCCTAGATGTCTGTATGCATACAGCCCTTCACAGCCCTTTCACAAATACATATTGAATGCCTGACAAAAGCTAGGATACTCGTAAAAATAGTAAGACCATTCAAAACTGAAGCAAACTGCTCCAGAATCACAGCAATAAACAGTCACTGATGTTCCACCCACCTGGAATCAAGGATTCTGAGTAAAATACTTAAAAACTATTTGCTATATGACCCCAAATTTATGAGAGCAAGAATGCAGATTTCTACAGTCAGAATGTGTGTGTTTTTGATTTTTGTTTGTTTTAAAAATAAATTCAGTGAGTTCAGTTTATAAAATGCAAAAGAATAAGAGGGTATGGGGGGGGCGGCCAGGGGAGACCAATTCTCTGATTCCTAATTGGCAATTACTAGAATATTGCAAAGTGTAATGATACGTGGAAATGTGTAAGTGTTAGCAATAAATCATGGTATTATGAATAAATCTTTGCTGTCACAGACTGGTGTGTATCCCTTCCAGAGTGTCTGTCATTAGGATGCAACAAGGCAGCTGTCAGCTGTTTTCTTGTAATTAAACAGCCAATGAGCAGCTAATTAAGACATATGTGTATACAGAAGTGGGCATGTTAATGAACTGTAGGAATCAATTCATTAAATGAAAATTGTCAAAAGACAAAATATGAGCTTAGTAGTTCAAGTTTCTGGCAGGCTCAGAAACCAGTGGTGAGAGGAGCATTAACTGCCACTCACAAGACATGGATGAACATTTATTTATTTCTTCTTTGAGGAAGGAAACTAAACAGAACACTTCACTGGTGCTATTAATAGGTTTTATGAAAACTCCCATTAATGCCATTAAATTTAGCTTTTTGTAGAAATTGTTCATTCAGACCGACTAGGAAATGAAAGGCACACTTTGTAAGATTTAATCTGTTGGGGGCATTATAAGTGTGTATTTTTTCCAACCTAAACGACTGCTGATTTGTGTGTCATTCATACCATGTTTTCAGTATTTATAGTTGCATAAACGAAAACACAATACCCTTAAATTGGTCAGATATTTGTCAGTCCCAGTCAAATCTGGTTTTGCTCTCAGCTCTGGTAGTGAAAACAGTGTTGTGGCTGTCGCTGGATTTGACCTTTCACAAGTCAGTTCATTTCTCCCCTGATGCTCAGCAGTCCACCACCCCTAAGGCTGGATACACTGAGGAGCCTGTCCTTTGGGCTGAGCGAGCCGTGTCTGAAGGAGGTGTGTGGCCCTCAGGAAAATGATCCAGAAGGCCAGCTGTTTTGTGGTAGCTGTGGGCAAGGAGGGGGAAAGCAACTGTTGGAAGTGCAACAGCAGAGATCATTCGGTGTGCAACCTAAGGGTTACTTACAGGCAACTAGCCATGAGTGGGACAGGGAGAGATGTCAATTAGCAACCAGTCAATGGCATGATCCTGACTGCAGTAACAAGATGCGTAGTTCTGAGGCAGCTGATCCTCAGTATGTTGAGTTGAATATGTCTTCCTGCTATGTAGGCGGCCTGAGGGAAGAGAGACTAAACCTCTGTGTTTCTCTCAAATTATACAGCATTTTGTTAAGTTTCTTCAGGAAGGACTTCTATCTGGACTCCATCTGCATTATTTTAAGTGACTTTGCTAACAGCAGGCATGACAGGCAAGAGGAAGAAGCAGTGGTGTGTGTAAGCTTATCTCTGCTTTGCCTCTTTTAGGTTGCTACTGTTTGTATGGTTTCAAAGTCCTACAGAGTCATTTTGGGGCAATTGTGTGTATACAATGGGAAGCAATGCCTCTTTAAATCACTTTCATCTCTTAAAAACTGTGATTTCTCACCAAGACATTCAGTTGAGAAAATATATGGGTTCTCCGGCCCTCATTTGGATACAGCTGAAATGCCCTAACATTTTCTAATATTATTCCTACATATTTATATATAAAATGTATTTGAAATAATTTTTATTACTGAACCTATTAAAAATATATATAATCATACATTGTGAAGTATTTTATATTTTGTAACAAAATGGAATAAAAAATATACTCTTGATTATGGTAGTTTTTGCTCGATAAGAATTTAGCTGAAAGGTGTCCTTTCAATGCAATTGTCGTGTGCGACCACTTTGGATTCAGCCATCGATAAATCTTCCTCTTGCCTTTTGTCATTGTGCTACAGGGCTTTTTCAGGAGGAGTCAGCAAAGTAACGCCACCTATTCCTGTCCCCGACAGAAGAACTGTTTAATTGATCGAACCAGTAGAAACCGTTGCCAACACTGTCGTTTACAGAAATGCCTTGCTGTGGGGATGTCTCGAGATGGTGAGCTTTACTAGTTCAGGTCAGCTGTCTTGTATGTGCGACACTCCTTAGCTTTCTGCTTGCTCATCCCATTCTTAAAATATTTGTCTTGAAATATACTGTGCCTCATAAGTCACTGAGTTTACTTTGGACTGATGCAGCTGGTGGCTTCCAGGGTTTTGTTTTGCTGCTGCTTACACAGTCACACGACACACAGAGTAAATGCCTGCCTTTCTTACTGGTGTCACTAGGACAGCTCTACGTTAATTTTCTTTCACATTCCTTATTCCATTCATACAACGTTATGGCTGTCCTGTATTTTTCTTCCTCCAACCAATCTTTACATTCCCTCCACCTTCTTCCTCCCCCATTACTGGTACAGAGACTATGAAATCCTGCTGCTAAGAGATGTCAGTGTCATCATAGGAAGGGTTAAATACTCCTCTCTTGGATGACAGGCCAAAATCAAAGTTATAACTTCTCTTAAGTAAAAGAAACTCTGCATTTTGCACCAAGGAAGTCCAAATATGGAACAGACTATTATGCAAATTAAATATATTTGCCCCTACGATTGAAATCTAATCATGTTCATTATTTTTCTTATTAAAATTGCCCTTCTGATGACTGTTTGCCTAAAAGCCATCTCCTTAAATTCTTCTATTGCTCATACATGCCCTAAGTATATTACATATGACTTACCTATTCAAGAGGCTGACCCAATAGGATAATTCCTAACTTCTCACCTTCTAATATATGACTTCACCTGTAGGATCAAGCAAAAGTGTGTTGTAGTGATGTTGTGAACTGCTTAGTAGCTACCCAAGACTTACATATGATGTGTCCTAACATAGCATTTTACTGCTGCAGCTGGTGGTGATAAAATATATTGCTTATGGATATATTTCAGCTGTAAAGTTTGGTCGAATGTCAAAAAAGCAGAGGGACAGCTTGTATGCAGAAGTGCAGAAACACCGGATGCAGCAACAGCAGCGAGATCACCAACAGCAACCCGGCGAGGCAGAGCCATTGACGCCAACATACAATATCACTACCAATGGGCTAACAGAACTGCATGATGACCTCAGTAATTACATTGATGGGCATACCCCTGAAGGTAGCAAAGCAGACTCTGCCGTTAGCAGCTTCTACTTAGACATACAGCCTTCTCCAGATCAGTCGGGGCTTGATATTAATGGAATCAAACCAGAACCGATATGTGACTACACACCTGCATCGGGCTTCTTTCCTTATTGCTCTTTTACAAATGGAGAGACTTCTCCTACTGTGTCCATGGCAGAATTAGGTAATAACAAAAGAGGGGGAAATTTCCATGTGGTTGCTGTAGTAGCTATCCTTTGGATTAAGAACAATGACTTTGTGGCTTTTCATCACTGAAACTACATGTCACCTTTTGTGTTTTGTGTATGGCTGTAACTGTGAGGGCTGCTCTTTCTGGAAGTGCCTTGCCCCCTTGACTAAGGCATCAAGTCCATAATCTTGGTCTAGGTCTGAACTCCAATAAACCAGACTTGCTGTTAGTCAGTCACCTGAGATGATTAACAGGTTGTTTTTATTGTATTTATTATTTCCATTCCTATTCTGCCTTTCCTTCAAGGACTGTCTCATTTATCCTTGGCAACCACCCTGTGAGGTAGGCTAGACGGAGAGAGAGTGACTGGCCCAAGTATATCCAGTGAACCTAATGGCTGGAGTGGGGATCTTAATCCTGGCCTCTCTTATCCTTGTTCAACAGTCTAACTGCTATTCTAGCCTTTTTCAACCTTGGGTCCCTAGATGTTGTTGGACTGCAACTCCCATCATTCCTAGCCAGCATGGACAGTGATCAGGGATGCTAGGTGTTGTAATTCAGGAACCTCTCGGGATCCACGGTTGAGAAAGACTGTTCTATACTATGCTGGATCTGGGTCTGGATCACAGACACCCACTTACAAAGTTTGTGTAAGTTAGCAAGGCTGGTATATTGTTTATCTGCAAGACTGTACTAAACAATGGTAAGTTACATGAATTTTTCATTTGATTACAGTATAATGATTCCCCCCCCAAAGGTGACCAGAGCATACAGTATTTATTTATTCATTAATTTCTTTAATAAATAGCCAGCCTCAGTATATAGCTGAACAATGATGTAAAGCACATGTTTAATTGGGAAGTAATAATTTTATAAAGAGGGCTAACTTAACAAGTAACAAAGAGTGTTTTGACACATTAAAGAATAATAAATTCTTTGCAGCACATGCTTTCATGGACTGAAGTCCATTTTATCAGATGCATGAAGTGTGATATTCAGGTGGCATATACCTGCCAAGAGTGTAAAGCAGAAAAAAATAAGTTAAATGGCAAGGAAATGTAAAACACTGGTAGCAGAAACATCAGCCCAAGACTATTTGGTGTCTGATGTGAAAAATCTAAATATTTCTCCTACTAAAATGAGACGTAACTTACTGTTGCCACAGCTCCTATTCATTTACTTGGGCTTGCACATAAAAACTTTGGAAAGAATTGCACTCCAGAAGTTTAGATCTGTCTGTCTGCTTCCCTTAAGAGCTCCAGAACTGGCAACTCACCAGGGTAAATCTGGGTAACTCAAAACTGTGTTTTCTCCATTTGTGGTGAGAGTTATCTAGTACGTGCTGAGGATGAGTTAGATGTGGTTCTCTCTCAAAGTAACAGCTAAAGGAAGTCAACTTTGTCAGGAGTTGTGAAAAGGATCTGTCATGCGTGAAAAGAGCCTTAATAACAACTTGTGCATGATGAGCAGTGGAGAGTTTACCAACCCATCCCTCTTTTGTGCTTTTCTTTTTTTGCTATCAAAGTAGCAGTAGCCACTCTCCTATTCCACACTAAAATGAAATCTTATTTCACATATTCTGGGATGAAAATAAAAGAAACAATTAGTGGGCACGAGAGATCTTATATTTACATGAATCTAATGCCCCAGCAAATCTAATATGCACCTCAATTTTCAAAACCTTGAAACCAAAAAGTATTTGCTGGCAAATGTAAATACGCCATCAAATCTAATGGGCACCCCAATTTTCGCAACCCTAATTTTCACAACGTAATTTGGCCAATAAAATGTGTGTATTACATTCAAGGAAATATAGTACATGTTCCTCGTTAGCCTATACTTCCGTGTCATTTTCGAAATACAGGAAAAAAACTTTTGAAAATCACTAAAAGCTCAGTCTATAAAAACTGAAAGCATTGTGAATTCCTATCCATCCATATTACACAGATGGATTTTATCTTCAAGAAATGGTAGATCACTGTATGTTCACAGATCTTTATTAATGAGTGCTTTCCTCAAAAGTGCACTTGTTCATGTCTAGCATGTGTAGAAAACTATGAGGACTTTCTTCAGTAAACAAACATTGATTTGTTGCAATGATAATTATAAAGGTTTGTGCCCTCGTTTCATTAAATATTTAGTAATGTGTCAAAAAGCTTTTTTATTTACCCAGAAACAGTTGATATAAAAGTGCCTTTCCCAGCTCCATATTATGAAGAGCTCTCATCATCCCTGACCAGGTTGGCTAATTGGCCCAGACATCTGGATGCTGTATATATATCTATATATATAGGCAAAAAAATAGCTGACTCCAGTTAGAAATCAGAATTCAAACCTATGTTTTACATTTCATATCATACATGAACCCACCTATTCAAGGTGCCACAAGACTCTTTGGTGTTTCGGCTGCATAGAATGTCTTCCAAAGAAAAATTGAATGAGATAATAGCAGATAGGTGTGAAAATATTTAAAGTATCACAGTAACCCTTTGAGTGAAGTGCTGTTAATACCACATACCTTTTGAGTTGAGCAGGAACCATTACTGAAAACTTATAGTAGAACACATAGTTTCTAAAACTGGAAGTTTTGCCTCGGAAGTTCAAGTTAAAATAGTTTCTAGTAGCTGGTGCTGGGGGGGGGGGATACTTCTGCCTGAGACCTTGGAGAGGCTGCTTTTAGACAAGTGGCCCAAATGCTACCCGTTCATTGTTCTTCCATTGTGAGCTATGAGCAGAATTGCAGCTGACTTTCCACACTATTGGGAGTATTGTGCATCACATTATGTTCTGGCCACTCAAGTGGAGAGAATATTGCGGCTGTGAAAAGGGTCACCTGCAGCTCAGCATACATTCACTATAACCTGTGTGGTGGGTGCCATTTTATGAGCCTTAAAAAAAAATATCTAAACAATTTCCCAGCTTTTTTATGAAAGAGAAGGTGCTAAAGCACTACACATTTCTTTCATTTTCAGAAAATAGAGATGGAGAAGCTTTTGAGTGGTAACCAAAATATTTTTTTAAAAAAACAAAGGTTTAAAGAAATGTCATCCACCACAAATGTTATGATTAATTTGTTCGTTTCCCCATAAAGTCATTGCCCATATAAAAAAGTTGGGAGTGTGGTGCTAGAAAGTATCTTTACCTGTGGAGCTTCTGCTTCTTCCAGTTTGCTTTTTAAATAGGCAGTTTGAGAAAAAACAGGAAAAAATAGGGAAAATACAGGATGATGATTGAATGATAGCATCATGTGTACGCCCTTAAAACATCAAGTAAACAAAGCATGGAAATTCCATTCTGAACACTTAGTTGGAACCACCCCAAGGCAGAACTGCCAGTACTGGGTTAGATAAAGCAATCATCTGACTCTTGAATAAGGCGGCTTTCTATGTTCATTTGTTGAGGCTGACTGCCAATATAATCTCCTGAGAATCCAGATCAAACCTAGTAACCCCTCACCTACAGGGGTGAGAACCAGTGATAATTTTAAAAAATGGAAATAAAAGGAAGTGGAAATGGGTGTTAGAATCCCATTTCAACCCTGTACAAATTTAGTGTTGAAAGCATCTATAATTTAATGATTGGCTAGACAGAACATGTACAATGAAAGTTGAGGATGGCCTTTTTTTAAAATGCATGCCACTTCTTGCTCATTCTGTTTTAGAACATCTCGCACAGAACATTTCCAAATCACATATGGAAACTTGCCAGTACTTGAGGGAGGAGTTGCAGCAAATAACATGGCAAACTTTTCTACAGGAAGAAATTGAGAACTACCAGAGCAAGGTATTTATCTTGGTAAACATGCTAAAATGGCACACAGCGCTTTTTTAATTGCCCATTCAGAAACACTTCTTGGACTAAAGCATTTTGTGCAATCTGCGAATCAGTTTTAAATGATTGTAGTGTTTGTGTGTGTGTGTGTGTGTAGTGAGTTGTACTGCCTATTTCTAACATACCCCCCCCAGTGGTTACTGTTCAGTTTTTTGGGTTCTATTGGGGTCTAAGGAGATCCTATGTTTGAATAACCGTAGTATCTCCAGATTCAGTACAGGCAGCCTCCTGTTTATGTGGGAATTATGACGTGCGTCAGTGAAATCGATTATAATTGAACCCCATTGAAAAAGCCTGCAAACACCGTGTTCTGCCCCACTCTGCCCTTTTAGTGACATTTCAGACATTTATGACATTTCTGGGTCACTTCCGGATTCGGCGCGATGTACATATATACGATCGCACACATATTGAACGTGTGTAAACGGGGAGCTGCCTCTACTTCAGTTCTCCTGTGATGGTGGGAAGCATTGGGGAGGGCAGACAAGTAATTTGTTACTCCCCACTGTTTCCCAGGAAGAATTTTAGGTGGGGGGAGATAGCATCTGTAGTCCACAAAAGTATTACCTGAGCTGGTGTGAATCTGTAAGAGTTTATTCAGGTTCCAGAGTTTGTTATCACGTGAATAAGTGTGGAGAAGCCTCTGGCTCGCATGCAACTAGCTCCTCTTTCATGCAGCCAATAGCAATTTCCAATCCTTATTTCATCTGAACAGGCAGACAAGGATCAGAAGTTACTAATTGCTATACATGAGCCTCCTCCACACTCATTTACATGATGCCCAAACATGATTCGATATTACATGTAAATGTACCCCTTCTGGTCACAAACATCAACTCCCCAAATATCTCCACAATGCTGGTATTTGAAGGTGGGCAAAAACTTCTCACAGAATGCTTATGCTGGTTTGCAGCTATATGTTCACCTTTGTCCTCAATAAAGGGTCTGGTGAGGGACACGGGTGGCGCTGTGGGTTAAACCACAGAGCCTAGGACTTGCAGATGATAAGGTCGCAGTTTGAATCCCCACAATGACGGGGTGAGCTCCCGTTGCTCGGTCCCTGCTCCTGCCAACCTAGCAGTTTGAAAGCATGTCAAAGTGCAAGTAGATAAATAGGTACCGCTCCAGCGGGAAGGTAAACGGCGTTTCCGTGCGCTGCTCTGGTTCGCCAGAAGCGGCTTAGTCATGCTGGGCACACGACCCGGAAACTGTATGCCGGCTCCCTCGGCCAATAAAGCGAGATGAGCACTGCAACCCCAGAGTCGGCCACGACTGGACCTAATGGTCAGGGGTCCCTTTACTTTTTATACCTTCAAGGTACTTTGCAATTCTGCATTTATTTCATCTCTTTCATAGGCATATGAAAACACTTTAGATATTAGCATTATTTTTATAACTATTTGTGGCTAAATCATGGATAAGTGAAGGTGTGTTTTATTTTCAAAGTGTATACACCTCCTTTCAGCAACAACATGGGGAGATTCAGGACAAAAGGAAGTACTTATTTGCATAATGCATAGTTAAACTGTGGAGTTCGCTACCACAGGATATAGTGATGGCCTGGACAGTTTCAAAAGGGGTTGAAAGAAATTCATGGAGGGTGTGGCTATTAACAGATACTAATCTAGTCTGTGAGCTACCTCTGGGATCAGAGTCTGTAAATCTCTGAGTACCAAATGCTGGGTACACTCTGGGGCCCCGTGTGCATAAGTGAAATTGTGTGAAGTGGGGAGCACCCTCTGAACACTCTAAATGCCTGCTCTGCAATCCATATCAAACATACGGATTCCAAAAAGATTCACAACTAGAATTGAAGCACTGGGGCCAGCAGGAGGCAGGAGGGTGTGTGGGAATGTGGCTGCTGCTGCTGCGCTACCCTGCACATCAGCTCTTAGGCGGGGAGGCTGAGCAACATAACAAAGCCCTGCTGTGCCTCCAGTGAATTCAGGCTTCGGGGAGGGTCTCTTCGCTAGCCATGAAGACTCTCCAATTATCTCCTGCCATTTCCGGGTTTGAATTGAATTATTTACCGTATTTTTCGCTCTATAAGACGCACCAGACCACAAGACGCACCTAGTTTTTGGAGGAGGAAAACAAGAAAAATAATATTCTGAATCTCAAAAGCCAGAACAGCAAGAGGGATCGCTGCGCAGTGAAAGCAGCAATCCCTCTTGCTGCTGCGCAGCCTGCATTCGCCCCATAAGACGCACACACATTTTCCCCTACTTTTTAGGAGGGGAAAAGTGAGTCTTATAGAGCAAAAAATACGGTAATTAGTTCCTGGTGCTAAGCAAATACTCAGTTGCACGTGAGTTGATTGCACGTAAGTGGAGGGATGCTTGTAAAACATATTCCACTTACAACTTCTGATGTTTAAATAAGAAGCTGAGCAGAGTGTGGATTTTGCTTCTACGTTTTGTAGAATTCTACACAGAACTCTCACTGAAATGAACAAGAGTTTTACCCAAGCATCCAAGATAAGTTTTACTATTAAAATGTCATTCTTAGAGCCGATTTGTAAACTAAAACATAAATTGTAAATTTTATGTAAACTAGTCATTATTATTATTTCTCTGTAGCACTCGCCTTTATAGTCTAGTATAGCATTAGAAAAATGCTATACTATAGTCTAGTATAGCATTAGAAAAACCGTAGGCAGGCATAAAACTGCCATGAGCCCCTTGAATTGCCATACCACACGTATCACAAATTGAAATACAAAATGGGAACACAGCCTGACATGCAAATCACAAGGCAATCACAAGACAAATCACAAGGCAATCAGTTGTACAGATTAATGATTAATGCTTTGCTTTAAAAAAACAAAACTTATTCCCTTAAGAAGGTTTAGCAAGTCTGGAAATAGCACTCTTTTTTGTCTTTAACAGCAGAGGGAGGTAATGTGGCAATTGTGTGCCGTGAAAATAACAGAAGCAATACAGTACGTGGTGGAGTTTGCCAAACGCATTGATGGCTTTATGGAACTGTGTCAAAATGATCAAATTGTGCTTTTAAAAGCAGGTATGTGGGTTGGGGGGCAAAACTGAACCCTTCAAAATAAATGTCAAGTGCACGTTTTATTACTTAACATTGTAATTCCATTATAAAAAGTGCATTTCACAAAACTGTGGCTCACCTAAACATGTTTAATGCTTCGTTCATTACATAATCATGCTGCCAACAAGTTGTACAGTTCAGTCCTGGGCAATCATGGGCCAATGTTGGGCAATGTAGAAGTCAGAGAAATAGCCTGTTGCTTGAACGTAAGCCATGTGCCTTCACATTTCCGTCATTAATAAAGTTAATTCCAGAATCACTCTAAGAGAACTAATACCGATAAAGTCTTGTTGTTGGTGTTGTTGTTGACATTAGGTAGGCGCTTTTGATGTACTCTTTTTGGCACATGTTTAAAAACATTTTTAAGGCCAAACTATTCAGACACATATATGTTACTTTGTTTTAATATCTTTTACTGTTAATTTTAATTACCGTATTTTTTGCCCTATAGGATGCACTTTTTCCCCTCCAAAAATGAAGGGGAATATGTGTGCGTCCTATAGAGTGAATGCAGGCTTTCACTGAAGCCTGGAGAGCGAGAGGGTCGGTGCTCCAGGCTTCAGGAAGCTCTCCGCAAGCCTGGGGAGCCCGGCAGGAACTCCTGCGGGCTCCGAAGGCTTGCGGAAAGCTGCCTGCAGCCCGATGCCCGGGGAGCGCAGCAGCTGGGGGGGAAATATATTTTTTTCTTTATCCCCCCCCAAAAAAAACCTAGGTGAGCCCTATGGGCCAGTGCGCCCTATAGGGCAAAAAATACTGTAATTTGTAAATGTTTTAAATTGTTTTAACAGTTTTTTTTATTGTTAATTGTGATATTTCTTGTAAATCGCTTAACAGTATAAATTTTTTGTTAAATAAATAAATATTTTTTAAGATAACCCAGGCATTAAACAGAAACAAGAACCCAGTTTTCTAGAGGGGCACAACTAAAAGAAACCTGGTTTGTGCAGAAAATTGAAGCAAAAAAAAGGGGGGGGACCTTAAAATGTGACTTCTCTGAACAGACTGCACAATAAGTGGAACTTTTTTTTGTCTTGAAGACAATATGTTGAAATGGGTTGGGCATTCCATATTTTCCAACATATTTTGTACTTAAAAACAAACATCATTTTGAGGCTTTGACTCTTATTTTTGGGTTTCCAGTGCCCCTCCTGTTTTTCTGTTTCTGAAGTATTTTCTTTATAAATAAAGATTCCAGGTTCAGACATGAGCTTGAATGAATGAATGAATGAATGAATGTTTATTTGCGTCAGGCACTCAAATATTTGTGCCAGGACAAGGGCTTTCTCAAAGCTTTCATTACCTAATACTGGCCCTGTAATGCTTTAGACTTATGAGGTCACACACGCAAGCCTTGAGGTCATACACGCCCCGCTCCATGTCTAGTGCAGCCATGAGAGTGGAAGCCTCTTATTCCCTTTTAGATTTGCCACAGTTTAGCATTACACCAAAGCCCAGAGCTGTGATTAAACTTAATGATGTTTTGTTGAAACAAGTCATCTTCTAAAACCATGCTTTGAAGCTGGCTTGTGTCAACAAAACACAGTAAAAATTAGCCACCATTTATTGTTTGGATGACATGACAAGCTGTGGTTAATCTATCATGGAAGCAAAAGCTTCCAAACTCTTCCTTGGAGCAGCACTGAAGATACACAAACATAAGACTCACTGCAGTTTATCCTTATAATGCTAAATGATGGTTTATTGTTACTTTTGAATTGGTTCAGTGTGTGAGCCATATTCCTCTATTACCACCTTTGTATATTCAAAGTCATAAAATTGGCTTAACAGATATAATTTATTTTCTGTTTTCTGAGGGCACATAAACCTCATTTGTGAGCTAGAAATATATTTTAAGAAGATGTACAATCTATTGTTTATTTAAGAAAGACAAGGGATAAGAACAGTTGTTTGTGAACCACTGTGTTTCTTAGTCTCAATTGTAAAATTGTTTCTTCTTTGGTTATAGGGTCTTTAGAGGTTGTATTTATCAGAATGTGCCGTGCCTTTGACTCCCAGAACAACACAGTGTACTTTGATGGCAAATATGCTAGCCCCGATGTATTCAAGTCATTAGGTAAGGAAATGAAGTAATTACTTAGAAAACATACTTTTAAAAATAACTATTTGGTTAAATTAATTTCTTATAATAAATGGATTGTGTGCAAATCACTTAATAGATTTTTCATTAAAGATATTTTGGTGATTTAAATAAGCTACACCTTCTGTATTTTTAATAATGTACTTTTTGTCCTTTCAAAAGATTAAAAACTAAGGGTAGCCTAGACCCATTTATACTTTTTGATTACAGCTTGTTAATTATTACTCAACACTTTGGAGTTCAAAGTGGGAAGCTCACTAGGCATTCTAGGAAACATGTCATCTGGACTCTGTTGTGCAAGCTGCAAAATAAGAGCACAATAAATGTTTGCTGCATTATTATTATACCAAGAGCTATGTCCTCCAAAGAGATAATTCCAATTATTTTTCTACCATTAATCAAAAATTATATATAGTTCCCTTAATAGAAAAAAATATTATCAGCTTTGATTGCAACTGAGAAGTTCCTATAATAAGTTCCTTGTTGTGAAGTTCTCACATGCCCGTATGGGGCTTCCAGGTCAGACACAAGCCCTACCTTCGTATTTAAAAGATTCCCAAAGTGAAGCTCTGTTATTGTTGTAATCTAATAATTACTCAGTTTTGTGTTCATGCTGGGAAGCATTTGGAAATTTATATAATGAGCTTAAATATATCTGGAAGTAACAGCAAGTGGATGTTGACAGTACAGCAGTGAAGAACTGCCTGGAATTATTAACTAATTAACACTGAGATTCAATGACACTTGGATATCACAGTGTAGAACATGGGGGAGGAAGCGGAAGGCACTGCTTACGTTAATTCTCTTTAGTGCCATAAGGTACTTTTTCTTTTTCATTAATGAATTCTGGAAGTTTCATATTGGGCTGATTAACCAAGACTTCAGTCCTGCTTGTGACACCAAGCCTTGTGGTTTTTTTATGGAGAATAATGGAGACTATGAGGAGCCCTTCTGTGAGTTTTAAGACCAAGAAATACACAAAGTCGTTTCTGTGGTCTTTTGATGCAAAACTATGCTGGCCTTTGAAATATTGGAACTGCTTATTAGACACAATTGGAAAATGGCTAGTTTTCATATAATTAAGACATCTCATTGATTCAGATACTTTAGTCAATTTGAACACACAAGCCTTGTACCCACTTTAAAATGCATGCACTCAGTGTGCAAAGAAGTAACAGGATTATCATTTGCCCTGCTCAACTGTTTTAATATTACTCCATCCTTAGAGGCAGCCATCCCCCAGTCTGAGGCAGTCATGCTTCTGAACACCTGTTGCTGGAAACTGCTGTGGGGGTGGGTGGGAGAGGGCTCCTGTGTTCGGGTCCTGCTTGAGGCAGTTGCGTGGCCACCGTGAGAACAGGATGCTGCCCATTGACATTATACACCAGGCTCTTCTTATGTTCTTATATGTACGTTCAGAGGGCCCAGGGCTGTGCCATGGCTGTGGGGCTGCTTAAATCAGACGCACATCCAACACATGTAGATGACATGAGATTTAGTGTGGACATGCTGTTGCTGCCTCATGGTGTGAATTATGGTGATGGAAAGCAGACCCATAGATATTGTCATGGTAAAACTAACAGTCCACTCTCATGCAAATAAATGCTCTGGCAAGTTATTCTCCATATAATCGCTGTTCTTTTTAAAAAAATAAAAGTATTGTTTTATTATTTTTTTTGAAAGAGGCCCTGTGTAATTTGCTGCTTGTTTTTCTCCCCTTTGGCAGGGTGTGAAGATTTCATTAGTTTTGTTTTTGAATTTGGAAAGAGCTTATGTTCTATGCACCTTACTGAAGATGAGATTGCATTATTTTCAGCTTTTGTTTTACTCTCTGCAGGTAAGGCATTAAGTATCTAACAGCATACTCTAGTCCTGTGTGACGGACAGCAGAGCCAGACCAGAGTCTGGGGGTGCAGTCCCTCTGAACCACCACCCCCCCCCGGCTGGAGCCTCTCTCTGATTGGCTACAGACATCTATCCACAGAGGGGGGTGGAGCCAGCACTTTGGGAGATGCAATAAAAGGAGCCGTTTCTGAGGGAGTTAGTTAGATATGGGTAGAGATAGGGTTTCATTTGAGGGGGTGAGATGGTTTAAGGAAGAGAGTTGGAGTGAGGAGAGGGGGTTGGTTCTGAGTAGAAACATCCACTCTGATGAAAGTATCTACAGCTAGAGAAAGGAGTCTCTGAGCTTAGTGTGAACAACAGAATTTAGCATCTGATGAGGCCAGGAGTTAACTTGGGGGCTGAACTTGAGCTGGAGAAGTAGGAGCTGTGAGGTCTACTTAGGTCTCATTCCAGTCAGGAGGGGAGACATCTAGAAAGAGAAGACTCCCAAACCCCTAAAGAGCAGTGTGGTTGACCTCGGGGGTCTGTTATATTATTTGAAGTACCTCGGGAGTGTGATTGTTAAAAGGTTGGGTAGCTGACACCATCTTATTTAAGAAGCAAAGTATTCAGCTGTAACACCTATGCTGGAACAAAATTAAGGAAATGGAGTGAAATAACTCAAAATAACTAGTCTAGAAACCTGTAACATCTAACTGAGGCGTAATAACTGAACATAAGCAACTGAGGTTTAAAAGAAGTTGTGCTTCCATTAGATGCCTGTAGTATCCATTAAATTCAGTATCATTATTAATAGGTTGACTGTTTCCTGAAAGAACATTATCTTCTGATACATCCTTTGTTTTATCCACTTTGTTCTATATAATAAATCTTTCTTATATGTTCAGCTTTTGCCTGAGTCACCAAGTGCAGTGATACCCTGGTTTACGAACTTAATCTGTTCCGGAAGTCCGTTCTTAAACCAAAGCATTCTTAAACCAAAGCGTGCTTTCCCATAGCAGCGGGGGACTCCATTTACAAATGAAACACACTCAACAGGAAGCAAAACATGTTGTTATTCCAAGGCAAAGTTCACAAACCAAAACACCTACTTCCGGGTTTGCAGCATTCTTAATCCAAGTTGTTCATAAACTAAGCTGTATCTAAGATTTCCTTCACGCTAAATTTAAAACATAACCTGTGGTGGTGACTATAGAGGGTACACATAGTTTTTATCCACTGTATTTGGTAGGCAGCAGCGGGATCCACTACTTTTTGCATTAAAAAGTTTAATTTGATTTTATTAGATTTGTTTAACAATCACTTTATACTCCACAAGAAAGAAATATCTTCTGCACTTGTTTATCGTCAAATCCTATACTTAGATAACTGTTGGAAGGAGCAGAATAGAAATATAATTGGCTGCTTCCAGCAGTCAGTTCTGTAATGTCTGGTACTGAAAACCTTTTAACTACTGATTAGAAACAATCCCTGTGATAGTGAAAGTGACTTCCATGTTACAGGAAAGTGACAACAGTGCAGAGGCAATTATTTTACCATGGAAGAAATGATTTTACTACTCATGGTGCTTTGAGGAAGGGTTGGTTCTGCTAGTGGGACCTACTTGGGAAATGCTGGACGTTCAAGTATTTCTGCCTACATCCACATATCAAATTAGCTTTGCACTTCATTTTTGTAACTTTCAGCCTCTCATTTCTGCAATTTTTAGACCAATGCCCCCCAGAACACTTAAGATCCTTTTCTTTTATCCACTACACTCCAAACTGGAAAGGTTTTCCCTTAATTTGGTAGGTTTTGTCGCCACATAATGGCCTACCATGCTTGCAGATGCCATAAAATGCTGATTAAAAAGTTATAGAATGTTCCTTAAAATAAAATAAAAAATCAAACTTTAAATGTGCTTAGCACAAAAACACCTGGACTTGTTTGCCTGTAATTTGGCAAGCTTTATAAACTCTGGAGGTGCTACTATGCCTGAAATGCCAACCACTTCTATTTAAAGGGAAAGGTTATTTGCCATTTTTTTATTCTCCATAATAGTGAAGGTGGTGAAGTGGAACAGAGCTTTGTTTTTTCCAAGGCAGATTTGCTTTGGAAAGGACAAAGTTTCCTTCCTCACTGCCACTCTCCAGGGAGCCTCTGAAGCACTTCAAACCAAAGTGGGTTGCTTTCGAAAGAGCCAAATTCGAATCCAACCCAAATCTTATAATTGATTCACAATCCTAATGATTATGCACATAGCCAAGAGCAACTATTTAAGAATGGTGTGCGAACACTAGGACAACTATAGGATTTGCTGTGCTAAAGAACAAATGCTTAGTATGGAATGTATAGCTAGTTGCTTAGGAGAAGCACCAGAAAACATGACTTTATGGGCTGATTCACACATGCATATATATCACTTGACAACTCTCTACTTGACAATACATCACTTTTTCATGTCACCATGACTTGATTTTACTGTATTGTAGGAAACCCCACTGTACACAAGCGTATGCTCTGGTATGGTAGAGCCCCATTCATTTTGTACACATGGAACACATGGGACTGAAATAAAGAGAAAGGAAATATGCCTACCAGTGTGCAGAATTGCAGGTGTATCCCTTTTGGGTGTTGTTAAACGTTGCACAATTTTATGTAGTCGTGCATTGAGAAGAAATAATTGTAGAAAGTAGTTTGTGGAAGGTAGTTTCAAAAACATTTTGAATACTAGATTTAATCATATTGTATGTTTTTATTTGTAAGATTTCAACACGAGTAATTTTCATTTTAGACCGATCATGGCTTCAGGAGAAAGTAAAAATAGAAAAGCTCCAACAGAAGATTCAGTTAGCACTTCAACATGTATTACAGAAGAACCACCGAGAAGATGGAATCTTAACAAAGGTAAGAGCTACAGAGTCTGACAATGGCCTGGCTTGCACGACAATGTCTGACAATGGCCTGGTCTTTTTTTACTGCCACTTAAGAGTGTCATCTGAATTGGGACTCGTGATTAAGCTCTGTCTTCACTGACCGTAAGCTGTAACCAAGGAGAAGCCAGCCAGCTGCAAGTTCCTCTTCAGGACCCCATGCATTTACACAGTTCCAGTAAGCAAGGCTTTGGCTTACTGTGTTGTGTGCAACACACCTTTTCTGGTGAATATTAATTAGACCCTGCTGATGGTGCCTCCACCCTGTGAAACTCAAAGAGGTGGTGGCATGTGAGAGCAGGGCTTTCTCTGTGGTGTGACATGGAAAACATTCCCCTCCAATGTGTGCTTGGTCCCACCATTATGTCCTTTCCAGGAGCAGATCAAGACACAACTCCCCCCCCCCCCAGGCCTTTGGTGTTGAGGATGAACACCAAATGATCTTCCCTTCTCTGCAGTGCTTTGTTACTTGGGTGGTTGTTTTAAATTATAACTTTAGAAGATTGTTTTATTTGGAATAAATTGTTATTTTGACCTCTGTTGTAATCTGCTCTGAGATACTGTGAAGGGCTGATTATAAATGGAAATACATACATACATACATACATAAAAGGTAAAGGTAAAGGGACCCCTGACCATTAGATCCAGTTGTAGCCAACTCTGGGGTTGTGGCGTTCATCTCACTTTACTGGCCAAGGGAGCCGGTGTACAGCTTCCGGGTCATGTGGCCAGCATGACTAAGCCGCTTCTGGCAAACCAGAGCAGCGCACGGCTTCCCACCAGAGCGGTACCTATTTATCTACTTGCACTTTGAAGTGCTTTCGAACTGCTAGGTTGGCAGGAGCAGGGACCGAGCATCAGGAGCTCACCCCGTCGCAGGGATTCAAACCACCGACCTTCTGACTGGCAAGTCCTAGGCTCTGTGGTTTAACCTACAGCGCCACCCGCATCCCATACATACATACATACATACATACATACATTTAATGTAATTAGCAGTTTAGTTTATGATGTGTTTTGTGAGGTCTGCTTAAAATTTGTACCATTTTCCAAGACTGACATAACAGGCTGAGCAAGTGAAATTGATTTTGTTTTTGAAGAGTGGAAAATTAGCCGCATACCTTCACAAAAATAGATTATGTTTGCCTCTGCTTGATGTATTCATTCCACATAAACTACTGAATCAGCGCTCAAGGATTAATTTAAGCTAGGGCTACCTGATTTCATTTTAGGAACCAGTTTGCAATGCAGCAGCTTTGCTGTGGAACAAAGGAACAGGAGTAAGGTACTTTTGAGCATGTGCATTCCTTTTCCTACTAAATACTACAGCCTGCCAGCCACCAACCCTCATACATGCACACATGTGGGATTAGGGCAAAGGGTTTTCAGATTTGAGTGTATGCCATTCAAGCAGGATCTAAACTCCAACAGCTCACCTTTTAGAAATTAAGTACTAGTTAGGCTGCAAGTATGCAATGCTTTGATTGTGGAAATGTTATGGAAGATTTTGTTGATACATGTTTAAATTATACAAATTATATTAAGTCATACAGAAAATACAGGCTTAAGGTACGTATTATTTGTTACTGATGTTAATGGAACAATTTAAAATGGATAATTGTTGCTACTTTAGTTTTACAGGCTTCACAAGTCACCCTTAACAAATAGCCATATGGAACACTTTGAAAGGCAGAATTTAGTTGCAACGAAGTCTCTCCTTATTTTCCCTGTGGCTTTTCTAAGTTATGGAAGAGAAGGAGTTGTTATGGTTAATGATGATGATGATGATGGATGCTGTTAGACAGGCATTCTCTAGCCCCATTCTTACAAGGAAACTAGGATTTGTTACCTTGAAGAACAAAATTAAAAGACCCCAAAGCATTTTCATACCTGTACATCTAATTCATTTTGCTTTTCTCTCCCTACAGCTAATATGCAAAGTGTCTACTTTAAGAGCACTGTGCGGGCGACATACAGAAAAGCTTATGGCGTTTAGAGCAATATACCCGGACATTGTGCGACTTCATTTTCCTCCATTGTACAAGGAGTTGTTCACTTCAGAATTTGAGCCAGCAATGCAAATGGATGGGTAAATGTATCACCTAAGCACTTCTAGAATGTCTGAAGTACAAACTTTAAAAGAGAAAAGGAAAAAAAGATAATAGAAACCAAGACACTTTATATGGTCCTGCATAGACCTAGGGAGCCAACACACTGCACATCTTCTGGCGAATGGGGTCAGGCAGAAAAAATGGGGGAAATGACATAAAAGTTGAACTTGTTTTTCTCACACAAATGATTTCCATGATCCCTACCGATATGGACCCTTTTTTGTCTTGACTTCTGTCTTTGACTTCTGTTTATGCAGAATGAGGGTACTAAAAAATCAGGAGGTTTCCTTTTCCTTGAAACTCACTGCCCACAGACTTTCACAGAACGACGTTTTGTTAGTAAGAACAGAATCTCCAGCTAGAAACCAGCGACTGGTGTGCATTGCAGAGGCTTCAGCATCAGTTTGCACAACTTGCTCATTGTTTCATGAAGGACGATTTCTTTTCACCCTACCGTTGATTGCCAGTAGGCGGAATGGCATGAAAAGGGTCCATAGCAATAGTGACAATAGCATTATAATCTATTACAGGGTAAATGGGCACGAAGTCTATATATAGCAAAAGAGATATTGTTTATAATATTGTTTTAATTAATATAAAATGTAGTTACTGGTATAGCTTTTATTGTTGAATTGATAAGGCACTTTCATTTTGCACCTTTTTCTTTTAAATTATATGCTAGCGTGTTCATTGTTGTGCTGCATGTGCACCAGAACTTCAAGTTTAACTGTGGGAGGTTTGGAAGGTAGAGGGACACTGCAAGGTGTTTATGCTGCTGTTTTCCACATTTACTTTTAAAGAGAGGCCGGTCATATCATGAAATACCTTCAGTGATTTTGTGTAATGGGACAAGGGGGGGGAGGGGGGAAGACAAGTTTCTAAACTGCGAGTTTTAGCTTGTGTTTTTAAAAGACAATTTAATATATAAACAAAACAATCCCTGTTCTTAAAGAGATTGCTGACATAGGGATAGAGAAAATCTATATTTAATCACTTTAAAGGTGCTACTGAAAAATTAGCTCATTTTAAAGTCAGCCGATTCCTTAGGTGACTAAATATGGATTCAGAAAACCAAATTTAGATACATATCTTTTGGAAATATTGGTCCTAATACTTTTGTTTACATTTAGAGTGTGTGTGTGTGTGAGAGAGAGAGAGAGAGTGTGTGTGTGTCCAGCAAGTGCATGTGCACCATTAGTCATCTGTTGAGACAGATAGGGTACAATCCATCACGAAGTTCTTTTGTGTAGTCCTGATTGAAATGAATGGGAGATTTCCAAATTGTAATAGTGTTTCCTGGTGAATTGTCTCCCTTGACTTAAATCCAGCGTACAGTTAAGAGTGCCCAAATCTATTTAATATTTAAGACTGAATAACTGTTTGCTGAATTGTGGCACTGTTGTTTATTTTATTTAGTAAAAGTGGGTTTACATGTGGCTACTTACTCCATAAACTAAACAGTGTAATTTAAGCGGGTCCCCACACCTAGAGAAAAAGGCCTAAAGCTTGATTTCAACTGAGTGCTGCACTTTTTAGCCACAGAGGTATGCTCAATAAGCTGTCCAGGATGGCCAGTTATGTGAATAGTGGATTATGAAATGAAATGAAGTATCTGACTCTAAAGAAATTAATTTAGGAATAGCCCTTTCAATCTTCTCTTATTTTCCCACCTTCCAAGGAATAAAACAGGCCCGACATACATTAAACTGGCAATACCATTGCCACCGATAAGGCACACCATATTGATTGGGCCCAGTTTAACTACAAACAGCAAAACCCCTCATTTCACTGGCGTAGTTAAAATGGATGCCAACCACGTGGCTGCTATGTTACACAGATGGCTTTCCACACAGAAAAATCTCAGCACAGTTTGCTGTCCTGGTAGCAAATGGATCATAAACCATGACTTTGAATTAGGCCACATCCTACCACAATGCATACATGTGATACTGAATTTTCCAAGTGTTGTTTCAAATGTGGTTTCCAGTATAAGTGAATCACACACTTTTTGAGAAATCTTGTTTTGTTACTGAAGAGAAAATAAAAAAGGACATACATAGGGCTAGGGAGTGCTTCTCTCCACCCGATTTCTCTGGAGCATACTGGGGCTTCATTCAAAATGTAGCAGTTACGTACAAACCTAAACATTGTAGAACCTGAGTTCTAATTTGAGTCATTATTTTAGGAATTATTTACATACCATCTGGAGTATTTTATTCAACCTTAAAAAGTCTTAGGTCATTGTGTTTTTGTGACAAATCCTAAATCCTACTCAGCTAGAGTGGCAACTGTGCTATTTTTTATCTGTTGACAAGTCAAGAACTCAGTTATTCCAAAGTACACTTCTAACCCTGATTCCACCAACACCCTTGATTGAGAAAATGTATCAAAGAGTAAAAGATTCTTCTCAGGATAACTTGTAAAGCAAGGGAGTTCTTCAAACTACACCTAACCTATTCAAATGACTCTTTGTAAAATAAATTTTATAATATAGCAATTTTTAGCATCCTGATGATTTAAATTTAAAGATGTAATCTTCTTGTCTCAGTGCCTGAAAGTTTTCATCAAAGGACCAACCATCCAGCTGTCTAGACATGGATTGTTCAGGCTCCTAAAGAAAATCTCAAAAAATATTTTTTGCCGTTTATTGGATATTATGATTATTTAAGTATTTTTTTTATTTCAAAATGACCTCTTGCAAGGTATGAAAAATTTTATTTACTTGTTGGAGTATATGTGCATTCTAGCATACAGTGTAGTAGTAATTCACATGTAAAAGGTAATAGAAAATTCCTATTAAGGAAGGTGCATGAGGGGCTATGCAGTTGGACCTGTTTGTTTTGAGCCCCAAAGTCTTCATTCAATGTAGTATAAAGAGCTGAAAATTCTCATCTTTGAGGGTTCCTACATGCCCAGTGCAAACTGTAAGATTAAATTTTCTATAGGCATTAGAACTGTGAAGTCAGTTCAGTCAGACAGGAAACAAACTTATAGCTGCAGAATCTTTCATCTCTATCACTCCCAGGGCAGCTTGTTAGCATCTAGGGAAATCAAGGCCTAATTAGTTATGAAAGGATCTAATGTGCAAACAAAAGTGAACATGCAAACATTTTAGGGCCATGTTGGGCTTGCAGACAGGAGCTACTCATGCAGACATGTTTGTAATATATACCAGCAGTTCTATGTAAGAGGTTACACACATGGCTGCCTTCATGTATGAAGCAGAGCAGCAGATCTCTATGCTCCTGAGCCACTTAGGTTGGGAATGTAGAAATGGGAAATTCAAATGCAGTCCTCTTGCCATTTACCCTTTCAAGTGACCACAGATACAGTGGTACCTTGGTTTAAGAACAGTCCGGTTTAAGAACGATTTGGTTTACAAACTCCGCAAAACCGGAATAGTGTCTTGGTTTGAGAACTTTACCTCGGTCTACGAACGGAATCCGAACAGTGGAAGGGCACCAGCGATGGGAAGCCTCATTAGGGAAAGCGCGCCTTGGTTTAAGAACGGACTTCCGGAATGGATTAAGTTCGTAAACCAAGGTACCACTGTACTTTGTAAGAAGGCATCTACGATACAGTTTCAACAAACACAGGAAGAGCTATGGCTGGCTCAGATATGTTCTTGGCGCTCTGCACATATAGAAGCTCACCCATTCCTTTCTATAAGCAACCCTCTAATGCATGCCAAGAGATAGCAAATAGATTCCCAGAAAAGCCTGAGAAACCCCTGATCACAATAAACTTTAATTGCATCCAGTGAATGGAATTTTGAAAGCATCCCAATATTCAGTTTTCCTCTACCCCAGTACAGGGGAGCTGTTTCTAAAGAATGAAAATCCTGCTAGCTACATGGACAGAATTTTGCCATCCTCATAAGTTTTGTTTATTTTATTGGAGTAACTGGTAGTAAATGTTAATTCTGGTCTTTTTATAGATGCAGTCCAAGCTTAAATCCAGGCTGTTTAGCAAATGAGGGGTTTTTTAATGTGACCTCCCTCAAATGCTAATTTAGTTTTAAAGTTCAGCTAAATTAAAACTCCAGTATCTACCAGCCAGCACCTGTTTAAGGCCTGCCATTTACTAGAGACAAAATGTATAAAGTTGATTCAAATGAAAAATGAACAGTATTCACTTCTGGCAGTAAAAGGGTTAGTTATATTTTGGTATTTCGTATTGACTCTCAGTCACGGCCTCTGTTATTGTTAGTAAATATTTTACATTTATCTGCTCACACAAAATATATTCAGATATTGAATTGGTCCTTACTTGTAGGCAATGCCATATCATTCCCAATCTTATCCCTAAAAGCAGACACCAGGTTCACTCCTGTCTTGAAAGCCAAGCACTTTAGGTCTACACATTAGACACACCGTAATCACTTAATAGCTTTTTCCAAAATCCGTTAATTGGTGCATAAACTAGTCCATGTTTTCTTCATCTCAGTTAACAGCAAATTATGCTTTGAAAAAAGGTAAAATGGTGGGAACTGTTGCTGATGCCTTTTTAACATGCCGAAGAACTCAAGCTGTAGCTGAAAGTATGTAGATGCCAGCATCAGAGCAGGGGCAAAACCTATCGGGGAAAAGAAGCTGAGAATAAGAACTAAAATCACAATATGACGGGCTACTACCGTATATTCCATTAGAAAACTTGCAGGCTGTAGACTAAATTCAAATGTATAAAGTGTGGGAATCTTTTGGGACTGTACTATATAATTTGATGAAGTTATATAAAATGGCTACAGGTATTAGAATCAATCACTCCAGAAAGCCGTTAAGTTAAAAATTGTCTTGGATTTTCATGTTCTATCTCATTTTGCTGGACATCTGGTACAGTTGGAATATTTCAAGATAGAATTTATTTCTAAAATAAGATGTGTAGTCTTAGACCACGGTTATATACTTTTGCGTCTCTAGGATTTTCATACTGTTTTGAAATGACATGATGCGAGATACTGTTTTAAGTTTAGTTGTTCTTTTCTGGAGCTTTTAGACCATCACCATCATCATATGGCTATCAAGGTATGAATGTGTGTACCACTGTCTGTGTGTGGTTGCTTCTGGCCATTAAGTGTCCATAGAATAAAGAAAATGTGTTGAAGATATTTAAGTCAAAAATAGAAGGTGGAAAAAATATTCTATATAAAGCCTTGTCTGGACCACTTAGAGAGACTTCTATTTTTTTAACCCTTCTATAAATATTTGATGGCACTTGAAATATTCCTGCAATAAAATGTGATTTGTGTAAAGATTAACAAACAAAAAGATTTTGTAATGTGAAACAATGAAAGAAAGCAATGTAATTTTTCAGAAAAAGAAAAAGAAAAAACAAACAAACCAACTTTGTATTATTTTTGTTGATGGAATTTGTCTACTTGTCTTTGGAAAAGATTTTATTTCATTGAATGTGCCATAGTAGAGATGTGGGTTGTGTTTTTTTGTTTTTAAGTTTTAGATGACAGGAAAGCTATTTGTGTTACCGACATTCCATAATGTGTGAGGACATAGCATAATAATTTTTTTCTTTTATATATATATATATTAGTAAGCTTCAGTCATCGTTGCTTTTTTGCACATGTACTTCACTCCTCTATAGTGCAATATGTACATAGAGCACTTGCGGGTTTAAACCTTGACCCCTCAGGGAAAAAATACATATTTGTTGTACATATTTTATTTTATTTTGCCTTCTTCTTCTTCTTTTTTTTTGCTAAGGAATGTCGATTGAATCACTTGTTGTTGTCAAGGGGCAGCCAGATAATAATCCTAACGCCACTGCCAAAAAACATTGATCATGTAATCATTCATGCCCTGCCATTCACAATGAAAAATTCTGACAGTTCTTTGTGCAAATTGGGGAACAAAAGGGGTATATAAGCACCTTATGATTGACTTAACTGTGAATGACAATCCATCTTGTTATCAATAATAGATGCCCTACCGTTTAGAAGTTGGGGTTAAAAAGTCTGAAACAAATGTGCTCAGGGATCTTGTAGAACTCTTCAACAGGGTGGCCAGTACTTCTGGGACAAATGGCTTTTCAAAAGTTTCATACTATCCCTCCATTGCACAACTGAACTGGGCAGAGACATTTTTTATCCAAGTGAATTTCAGTTGTTTGGGTTTCCAGACCCTATACTGCTCAACTCTTTTAAGGATTGGCACAAGATAATAATAATTCCAGTGCTCTGAGTATTTTGTTTAATGTATTAGAGAAGTGAGCTTGTTTTGGCCCATGAAACAAAATATTTTAATTTTATTTCAGATAGCCACTGTTCATAATGTTTTAATCATAGACTCTTCAATACTTCTATATGTCATCTTGGGACCAACTACATGTTATGCTTACTGTGAAAAACCTTTGATTTTTGTTAATTAAATTACAGGCACGATGAAGTGCATAAATTCAAACATAAATGTACCACATTGTGACAGGAGGCTTATGGGAATTGCTCCTCCTGCATGGCAAGGGGCTGGTGCCAAAGGGATTCTCTACCCATTGAAACTCATAGCCATATGGGAGGGGCAGTTTCTATTCAGATCAAAGCTGGGGAAGAGAAGAAGTAAACCTCCTTTCACTATGTGTTATGATAGGAATCCTGCATTCCTCTGCATCTGTAATTTAAGTAAAAAAAACATTGCTGCATATTACACAATAAGCATAGCATGTATCTTGGCCTGTATCTTGGCCCTTGTGGTTCTGGCCAACACAGAGGCTTCTGGGGCAGAATTTTAGACAACGCTGAAGAAGCTGGCAATACACTAGTTTATTTTCCAAAGCAAATGTGCTGTATATTTTCTATATTTCTCTAATGAAAAAACATTGGGTGCCAATACACTTTTAGACACAATGAAGCTAAATTTGTATTTTTATGTAAAGTTCATTGTCAGTATTTTGCAATACAGAATTAATCCTTGGTGGTAAACTCCTGTTTAATTTAAGTTTATGTTATCCTTAAAACTATTGTTATAAGCTGCTGTTTTAATGAGAGCCATGCAATTCAAAATAAACTGAATAATATTCTGCCCAGAACAGGTTATTAAACTCCCCCGCTGTTGGTGAATGTGCTTTACTTTAACAAAATAAAACCAAAATTGGGAGGGTAAGCTGCATGATAACAATCCCCATATAATTCAGTAATTAATATAAATATGTAGAAGGTAGTGCTGCCACTGTGCCAAACCACAGAGCAGAGTATTTAAAATGTTCTAAAAGGCCCTAATAGGAGTGTGGAAGGAAGGCTGCAGTTCTAAACCCAGGTCTTTGCTTCTGGAGGGATATAGGATCTACTGGTCTCCACTGGTCACTACTGCCAACATCAGCCAATGGAGGGCTCCAAAATGGAACATTTAGTGGAAGGAGCAGAGCTGGGCTGGCCAAAGTTTTGTTCAATCCTAAGCTGGTCCAATTAAGGCCACTGCTGTGCCCGTCTGGTCCTGCTGCAGCAGAAAAGGTAGCCATTACTAGTCCCGCCCACATTCTGTCCTGGCTGGCATGAGCTCTGCTACTCCATTTTGCCATGCTGCTCCCCAACCAGAGTTGGAATTGCTCTGCTAAGCTTTCCTTGATGTGTGAGGTTTGTGCCTCTTTCCATGTTTATTAAAAGCAGAAGAAGCAGTAAAGGAAACAGAAGTTAAATAAGAATTTAAGACTCACTCTGTTTAACAGTCAGGCCAAAGAGAAATTGATTTCATCATCTCAGCTAAGTGGTTGAATGCCCTTCTCCAACTGCAACACCCCCACTTTGTTTAATTTATGTATCATGTGTTCTACTCATGCTTTCTTTCCTAATTGCCACAACACTGCAATCCATTTTTATTTTTTATACAGAAGTAACCACCGTTAAGTATATATAAAGCATCCGTTGCATGTTCTGTTGTGCTTACATCCTGGTTCTCTTCTAAGACTAAAAAGTGGTTGTTTGTTGAAAGTGTTTTTTTCCCTTTCTGATCTATTAGCAGCTTAATCCTTCAAAATGAGACAGCTTTGTAAGAGGTACTCAGATATTTTCAAAGGGGGAGCCTGTTTGTTAAGTGTAAAGGATGATCAGAAAATTACAGGGTGAAATACGTACATCTAGAAGAGATTATAATCCTATAAAGCTGAACTAATTAGAAAGCATATCTAATTTTTATTTTTATATTTGTTCCTAAGTGTCTGTTCTGTGTGCGCAATTTATGTAGCTTGGGAAATATTAATGGACCAGTGCCAATACAAAATTGTATGCTTTTTCTGGTTATGTGATTATCCAGATTTTGAGTGTCCAGTAAGGGACGCATGATTGCCATGTGATCATTCTGGGCAAAGCTGAGTGCAAAGTATTCTTGATGCAGTTTTAAGGCAATAATTTTGGAAAGATTTCAATTCAACCATGAGCTCTAATAAAAGATTCCCAAATATATGTAAATATGGATAAGTATTGACATCATAATTGTTTCCTGCCACCTCTTTCCTTGGAGATAAAACTACAGAGTTAACGCCAAAGCTGGCTCCTTGTAAGTGGGTGTCCAAGGCAACAATTTGTGGATGGTTTTCAATTCCCAGATGATTGCCTTAGACACTTCTATAAACTTGAAGAATTGATGTGAAATATTTGGATGATCTGTTAATTTGTTTGACTAATCATTTACTTGGATGTCTTCACACAATCATTTTTATCAAGTCAAACAAAATTAATAATCAAACTCTATCTGTGCATTTACAGGGCCAGGCTATTTAGAAGTCAGATGTCTTATGACTTTAAAGTATTTTTAAAAATAATCCAAATGTTAATACAATGTGAATAAATTTTGTGGCATTTACATTTCTTCAATTTAATATTTCTGGTAAAGTGGTGATTAGGAATCAAACCAAAGCCTTATACAATCAACCAATTAATTACTAATGGATTAATGATATTACAAATAAAGATTTGAGAACATATTTTCACATGCCAATTCTGGTTCAATTGTATTGTGATAATTCACTACTATACTGCGAATTCTTAGAGGAATGTGCAGGTGTCACATTTAAAATTTGTCATGTTGAAACTAGTTTGTTTGTCTACTTTTCTAACTATTTGGATATACAGAGATCTAGGAATAAAGGAAGATGTTGTTTTACATTGCTTTATGTATATAAATGTGTCAATTAGATTTTCACATTTATTGGTAGCAGGGCATAATAGTTCCTCTTCAGAGCAATAAATAAACTTAATCCAAATATAAAATTTTAGCTCCTGTGCATTGAAGCATTGTGAATCTGAAAGCCAAGAATCATTATTTGTCATTCAATTTTTATTTTTTACTGCTGTGGCATTCACCTTATCTTTACTGTTCATCCCGTTGCCGCTTAAGAATACTTCTTTTAAAAGGGGAAAAAGAATTGAGCACATAGAATGCTTTATGCTACATCCTTATTTTGTGCGTGTGTTTACTTTGCACACTTGAACTTTCCCATACTCCTTAGAAAGTTTTACTGAAGATGCATAAATGTACAGGACCCTGCAATCTGTTTGCTATTCTCGTACTGAAATGCAGAAAATTCATAAGCAATATAGTGAATTTTATTTCACAAACCACAGAGGTACTGTATATATATTTTCCTAACTCCAAAATTTTCTATTTTGACTCAACAAATTTGTAAAAAAAAAAGCCCCCGTGGTAACTCTTTTGACTATTAGGACATTAACTGGCTGCTTCTTTATATGTAATTGTATTGTCTGCCTGCTCCTTTTTCGGAGATGTGTTTTTGTATGGATGTTTGAGCCAAATGGGAGGCTTCAAGCTATGATGTATTTTCCCAGTTTAAATATATTTAACATATGACAAACCCCAGACAAGGCTTTTAATAATGTAAGAAGAACTGCAGTGTTAGGTGGTTTATTTGCAAACTTTTCTCAGTGCTATCCATTTTATGGCACCTTTAACAATATACTTGTTTCCAAAGTACAAAATAAAGGTTAAAAAAAAACTTCTAGCCATAACTGAATGTTGAGCAATAAAAACAATGACTTTTTGTGCATAGATTTAAAAGAAATACAGATTTTAGACATCTGCATGTAAATGCAAATATCTTGTTTACTGCTTTCTTAAACTTGATCAACCAACTCCTTGTTTTACTACTAATTTAAGGACTTGTAATGGCCTGTACACATTTTCTCTTGCTCTAATTCTTATGTCATCTTTGTCTCAGCTTCTGAGTCATACTCTTCAATGTTGTTCTGCTCACCTTTTGTATGGTTATAACTATTTTGCTTTCATTCTCTATAGATAAAATATACTACTTTAAAAGCCTATGCGGTGCAAATATTTATCTGTTTATCAAATACCACATTACGCTGTATAATATCTGTTTTACTATATACTCTATTTTAGAAATAGCTGTTTAGAACTAGAGTGTGCTATTTTTGTGTTTTTCTGATGTGTGGTGCTAGATAAGTTAATTTTATGAACAAATCTCCCTTTCCCGTTTTACTCCTAGGCAATACCACATTTGGGTCTTGTACTATTTCACTGAATATCTATGTGTGCATGTGTATATACCTTATATACATTTACACACATGCCCAATCAAGTACCTGTATCAGAGTACCTAGACTGGGGACATGTTCTCTCTGAATATATAGTATCATTCTATAAAGTTCTCTCTAGCATATTTAATCAGGAAAAAAATAACTCCTCAGTAATGATATTTGATATCCTACACTGATTCTTCTTTCTCTCATCTACTTTGCAACCGCAACACACTTTGGTTATCCTATGGCACTGTAGTTCTGAAACCAAGTATGTCAAGGAGAACCCAGTGGTTTCAGTTTTGTGTATCAAACTACTTTTCTCTTTAATGTGTAAAGTACTAAAAAGTAGTCCTTTCTCCCCCACAGAACATTCTAAATTCTTCAGTGGTGCAATTCAGCATCCCTGCAATTATTTGGGGAGGGCTACCATATGGTTATATATTCTATTGGGAGGGAGAGAAGTGGAGCCCCCAGGAGAATTCATGTGAAAAGTTGGTTCTGTCTTGATTCAAGGACTTGGGAGAGAAAAGTACAAATTAGAGTAACACTAGGTGCAATCCACAATGAACCCTTATGTTTGGGTTCAGACACTTGATGGACCCAATAATATTACACCTGGGACTGCCAGAAGGTATTGATTGTATGAACTGGTGCATATAAATGGGTCGTATATGTTGCCACAGCTGTGTATTACAACAGCTGTGTATATATGCCCCTATATCAATGATGGATTTAATACAATTACTGACTCCATGTTAGCCCACAGGTGACCCCCTACACTCCCTCAAGCAGTTGTGCAGGGATTGACAACTGCCTGAACAAGAATCATTATTACCAAGGAGTATACAAAAAACTCTAGTTACTACTGTGTTATCAGTAGTTATTATCAAAGACGGTAAAATAAAACTTGTCATTTCACTGAAAAAAGTAAAATAAACTTGTCATTTCAATAAGGTTAGAATGTCTATATTTCCAATTCTGTGTTGCCCTTGATTGCGCCAGTACAACAGTTAGCATGGCTACACTGTGTTATGTTCTCTTGGCTGCCCCAGCTTTTGTGGATTATTTTAACCTCACAACACTACAAGCATGGGCCAATGGATTGCCAATGGAAATGTGGCCTATGATGCCGCATACTGGTTCTGCAATCCTGGGCTTCCACTTCACACTTGGATGCCAACACATCTAAGGGCTGGCCCATCCATCCTTGCCTATAATTATCAGTATATGCAATAAAGAATTTCCACAATGTGCAGTAATACCATTAATACAACAAAACAGACACAGCCAAAAGAGGTTTGGTCTCAGTTTTTAAAGCTTGAGAAACTTAAGCAATGGTCATACTAATGGTGCAATCATATGCACATTTGGTTGGGAATGTGTATTTCTCTGTTGACTAGAAATTTGCTATAAATTAAGAAAATTATAGCCAAAGAGTAAACTGGAATATGCACGTGTGGTTCCCAATGGCACCACAAATTGCACAGCCTAATTCTGAGCAGAATTTGGCACCATAAAGTACTGCAACAGTAGAATAGTAACTTTAAAAAAAAGTGCTTAATAATCAGGCTATTTCAGCTAGAATTCAAGTCCTGTTATTCATTACCAGTATCATCTTTTGCAAAAACCTAATGGATATCAAATATCTAAAATGGGGAACAACTGACCTTTAAAGTATTTATTACAACTCTTTTCTGTACTATTACTGAAGCTGTAAGATCTTTAGTAAAAAAAATATTGAGAAATCTAAGAAGCTGTTTGTTTACCACACTTTTTAATAATAGAGGATAGTTAATATTAAAGCCACACGTCCTGGTTCCATGCACTGCTTCTGTATTTTGATTTAGCAAACAAACCATTATTCTGGAAATAAATACAAATGTATTTATCGGCACCCTGGCTATATTTTAATGAATAGAAATTTTAAATACAAACGTTTTCAGGACAATTGATTTGATTTTTTTAAAAGAAAAGCTACAATCTTCTTTAAAAATGCAAGTCCATGATTATTTTCTAGTCCCTTATTGATACAATTCACCTCTTAAACAGAGAATCTCCTGATTTGTCTAATATGAGTGTCACATACTTTATACCAGTAATGTTTTCCCTAATTGTTTGGGCTTCATTGTTTTATAAATTATGCAAGTTTGTGTGAGTAATGTTTCTTGTGTAATTAAATGTCTGAAGAATAAAAATAAATGCTGTATTGGTTTGAGGATTAAGCACATAAACATCACCAACCTCACTGAGTAACACACTCAGTCTTCTGTAAATAACTACAAATTATCATGAATCCGTACTGTACATGCAAAAATGTGTTGTCTTATGTGTACAGTATGTACAAATTCATTTTCTAGCTATGATAAAAGCATAAGCCATTGAGAGGAATATTAAAAGTAATACTGTAATAAAACTTCACTAATTATATCTTCCCCGTTATCACCAACTTTTTCACTTCTATCAGATCTTCTTTAGAGCTCACTCTTACACTTGTCAGCTTAGACTCAAGTTTATTTTATTCTGATATTGAACGAAGTATTTTGACTCATTTTGTAAATACAAATGTAAAAATAAGAGATTTAATGTTGTCTTTTAAATACTCTTGATTTTCATTCTAATATGAATGTTGTTATATTGTACTTAGAACCTGTACCTTTAATATTACATTACCTTTATTAAGTGCATTGAACACATCAATTTTAGATGTGCTTTATGTACTGTTCTCCTGTAATAAAACTTCAGCTTCTAATGGAAAACTTGGTCACATTCATTTTTCACTTCAAGTGCATTAAGTGTTACTGGTCTGTGGTGAGTGGACCCTGCCCTCAGGGTTAGGATCTAAAAAACAAGAGCAGTAATCCCTAAATAGTGTGCAGGCCAGGGTGCCCCAAGAAAACTGCTTAGATTAGAAAACAGGCACCTACCAACAAGAGGCTACCTGCTTTGTCTTGCTTCACTGATTTGGCCTTGCCTTCTTCCAGTCAGTCTGTCTGCTGTTTTTGTTGTTTAGTCGTGTCTGACTCTTCGTGACCCCATGGACCAGAGCACGCCAGGCACTCCTGTCTTCCACTGCCTCCTGCAGTTTGGTCAAACTCATGTTGGTAGCTTTGAGAACACTATCCAACCATCTCGTCCTCTGTTGTCCCCTTTTTTAAACTATATATTAACTATATATTAAAAAAAACTACAGACAATTACAAGAAAAACAGCATGGCACCAGCCCCTTTCATTGAAAGCTGTCAGTTCCCAAAAGCCTGCTGGAAAAAAACACTGGACTGTACAGTCATACCTCGGGTAACAGACGCTTCAGGTTGCGCGTTTTCAGGTTGCGAACCACCCTGAACCCAGAAGTACCGGAATGCGTTACATCCAGGTTTCGGCGCTCGTGCATGTGCAGAAGCACTCAATTGCACTTCGCGCATGTGCAGAAGCGCCAAATCGCGACCCGCGCATGTGCAGACACGGCGCTATGGGTTGCGAACACTACGGGTTGTGAACATGCCTCCTGCACAGATCACGTTCGCGACCTGAGCATCCACTGTACAAAGGACTCTATGATCTGAACGTAGAGACGATGTATGTACTTTTGTAATCCAAGAAAATTTTTAATTAAAAACCTTTTTTAAAAAAAGGTTTTCACCTGCTGGTGGAAGGACAAGGTGGGACACAGTTTAGCTTCTCTAGGGAGGGAGTTCCAAAGAAGGATACAATGGTCAGTAGTATCGAAAGCCGCTGAGAAGTCCAGCAGAACCAACAGGGACACACTCCCCTTGTCCAGTTCCTAGTGAAAGTCATCCACCTCATTCACAGATCCCTAAGATGAGTAGGTCCATCTTTGAGCCCTATAAAAGAAATAGCATACAATGATGTGATTTGATCCAGCTGTGCTGAACTTTCCTGAGGATTCTTTAGGGATCCTTCTACTCCCTTTCTCCTGCCATCCCCTCCCCCTTCTTTGTATTGCCTCTTACTAAAGGAACATTTTCATAAGGCTTAGTGGCATTCACTTAATACAGTACCATTCCAAATCCTTTGTGTTCTGTACAAAATTAGTTATAGATCACCTGTATTAATAGAATATGAATTCAGATATAAAGGGAAACATATTTATGTCATACTTTACTACAGTGGTACCTCGGGATAAGTACTTAATTCGTTCCGGAGGTCCGTTCTTAACCTGAAACTGTTCTTAACCTGAAGCACCACTTTAGCTAATGGGGCCTCGCGCCACTGGAGCACAATTTCTGTTCTCATCCTGAAGCAAAGTTCTTAACCTGAGGTACTATTTCTGGGTTAGCGGAGTCTGTAACCTGAAGCGTATGTAACCCGAGGTACCAGTGTACATACACTTCATTTTCAAAATATTAAGGGTTGTAGTCAATGTTAGTCCCACTCAACATTAGTTTCAATGGGTCTGCTCTGAGCCAGATTATATACCTTCCAACATTTCTCCAATGAAAATAGGGATGTTGTATTCATTTTTTTTAAAAAAACTTCATTGGAGAAATGTTAGTTATGGAATTATTATTATTATTATTATTATTATTATTATTATTATTATACCCCACACATTTGACTGGGTTGCCCCAGCCACTCCGGGCAAATTCAAACATATATAAAACATTAAACATTAAAAAAAACTTCCCTATAGAGTGTTGCCTTCAGGTGGCTCAGGGGTTGGATAAATCCCTAACTGCTAACACTTCTACAATGAAAATAGGAACGTTCTAAGGAAAAGCAGGACATTCCAGGATCAAAACAGAAACTTGGATGGCTTCTGTAAATCCGGGACTATCCCTGAAAAATAGGGACACTTGGTGGGTCCGAGACTAACATTGACTAAAACCCAATGAAAGTTCTTTGCTCTTTAGCTGAGTTTTGCTCTTCTGAAGAGACCACAACAGTACAGCCCACAAGTGTAGCAGTTTATCAATATTTATATGAAACATGAATAGTTAGCTATCAGATTAATAATATTTTTAAGGAGAACTTTGTAAACTGACAGATTAACCAGCTTTTTGCACTTAGGTCATAGAACTGTAGAGTTGGAAGGGACCCCGAGGGTCATCTAGTCCAACCCCCTGCAACGCAGGAATCTTTTGCCCCACATGGGGTTCAAGCCCACAACCCTGAGATTCAGAGTCTCCTGCTCTACCACTTGCACACAGCCTCTTCGTTCCCCTTTGTGTAAAGAAACAGAGCAGAAAGACAATTAATTGTAGTTTCCTGTTATGACATCCAAATTTGGAAATCGTGGTTAACTATTTCCAAACAGCCATGCTATTTCGCCAAATGTATGGGTCGTGTAATGTGATGTTCTTATGATTATATTAGCGCTTTGTTATTAGTGCCCCATGGTGCAGTATATAGAAATTTAAGAAATAAACGTAAATTTAAAAAGAGGAATAAATGAAACAAATGATATTTTTATAATCACTTCACATATTCAAACACCAAGCCCTAGTCTTTTCTTTCTTTTTTAATTTTCTACGACTTTGGATGTACTTTGCCAACTTTTTGCCACATTATATTAGTGGCCATTTTCAAACGCTTATTATTGTACAGTGTGTGCCCAGGATAAAGGGCAATCTATTATCATTATTGCATAAAGATAAGCTAAAGTGTTTTTAAATTAATACAGTTTCCACAAATATTTAGTAAACGTTCTAAAACATTAAAATATCTTACATTAACATACAATATTTACTTTAGTTTTTCACCTGTTTCGCTAGCACTGGCGTTATTCCACAGCTTAGGTTTTTATTTTTAATATTGGAGTTTCCAGCATAAAAGCTGGGGGAGGGCAGTAAAGCCTAACGGGAAAAGGTTGAAGATAAAGAAATACTAAGGAAGCCCTTTCCCTCAGCCGAGCTCCTCCGGAAGCGTTTATTTCCCCTCCCCCTTTATATCAGGTATAAAAATGACGAAAAGGCTGAGAGAAACTCGCTTGCCCACACCCAAAATGGATCCTAAGCTCCTTCTACGTCTCGCACTCCGGTTGGCTGATTCGCTACCACGTGAATGCCTCGCGGGGAGATCGGCCGTGCTGGTTGGGTAATACCGCGAAGCAGGGGCGGTTCCTAGCGATGCTCACCGAGGCTCTGCTGTGGGAATGCAGTCGCCTCTTCCAGGCCTTGCTGCCCTCTCCAACTGCAGGCCGGGCGAAGCGGCCGCCGAAGGCGCGAGATGGCGGCGAGCGGGAACCTCCTCGCCTGGTGAGTGCGCGGCTTGGGTCTCACGCCCTCCTTTTCCCTCCTCGGTCAGGCGCCGCCGTCCACATTCGGGGCACGAGGGTCCTTCAGGAGCCGAAGGGAAGAGGGCGGGGGACCCTCACTTCCTGCAGTCGTTCGCAGTCAGGGAAGAGCATCTCTGAGCGTGTGCAGAGTGCTTTTCTCCTCTCAGCGTTGAGGAAGCAGAGCCCGCTCCTCCAAGCGGGTGGGATATGTAGCCTGAAAGCTCTCTCTGTGTTCCCTTTAAAACATTTTAGCAACAGCCTTCCTTTGCAGGTTTACCTGGAAGTCAGTCCTGTTGCCTTCATGGAGGGCTTAACTCCCAGATAGGTTTGTAGGCAGCCATACCCTCACAGGTACTATCCTACCTGCAGCGAATCAGACATCCAGGTATGCGCCCTCAGGGTGTTCTTCTGTGCCCCATATTTAAGTAAATACATTAGTGTAGCTATTTACAGCGACGATGTGGGGGGGGGCGTGCTTTTCAGTGGTGGCCCCGCTTGGGCCACCTGCAGCAGGTATCGCCAACCTTTTCAGACCCAGCACTCGCTTGGGACCCAAACATGTTTCTGGGGACCCATTTCTTAATCTTTTACCATATATTTGCACAGTGGTAGTGCTCCTGCTGCAGCCCACCTTGGATCAGCCCCTGACTCACTGTGGGACGACCCACCAGTAGTGTATGGGTCTCCCCATTGAAGCTTTCCTTCGAAGACAGAGGTCCTGTGGCTGGGACGGGACGATATGGGATTGAGGGGGCAACTCCCATCTCTTGCGGGGGTGCAATTAGTGCCAGCACCGTCCGTTAAGAGTTTGGGTGTAATCTTCGATACCTCCCTCTCCATGGAGGCGCAGATTACAGCTATAACAAAGGCGGCATTTTTTCATCTCCGCCAAGCTAAGCAGTTGGCTCCTTACCTCTCTCGCCCTGACCTAGCCACTGTGATCCACGCGACGGTCACCTCCAGACTGGATTATTGTAACTCGCTCTACGTGGGGCTGCCCTTGAGACTGACCCAGAAACTCCAGCGGGTGCAGAATGCCACGGCCAGACTCCTTACGGGGTCTTCGCTGCGGGATCACATTCATCCGGTGCTATACCAGCTGCACTGGCTCCCGGTGGAGTACAGGATCAGGTTTAAGGTGCTGGTTTTAACCTTCAAAGCCCTACACGGCCTAGGACCCTCGGACCTACGGGACCACCTCTCCTGGTATGCCCCACAGAGGAACTTACGGTCCTCAAATAAAAACATCTTGAAGGTCCCAGGCCACAGAGAGGTTAGGCTGGCCTCAACTAGAGCCAGGGCTTTTTCGGCTGCGGCTCCAACCTGGTGGAACGCTCTTGTCACAAGAGACTAGGGCCCTGCAGGACTTGACATCTTTCCGCAGGGCCTGCAAGACAGAGCTGTTCCACCAGGCCTTTGGTTAGGGCACAGCCTGACTCCCTCCCTCGGCAATCTTTACAATACTTTAGTTTATGGTTGCCATCAATTTTGATTTTAATTAATTCTTATGATGTTTTATAATGTTGCACTATTTTAGTGTTGTTAGCCGCCCTGAGCCCGGCTTCGGCTGGGGAGGGCGGGATATAAATAAAATTTATTATTATTATTATTATTATTATTTCCTGATGCTGACCATTAACAGCTTCTGGGTGCCCATTTTTGGCCTCTTTCTGCCCCCAGGCATTTGGTTGCATTTTAAAAGTGTGGTGGTTACAGTGTTGGACTAGGACCCGGGGGACCAGGGTTCAAATCCCCACTCAGCCATGAAGCTCTCTGGGTGGCCCTGGAGTCAGTCGCTGCCTCTTAGCCTAGCCTTCCTCGCAGGATTGCTGTGGGGATTAAACGAGGAGGGGGAGAACCACCCAGGCCACCCTGAGCTGCTTGTTGGAAAAGTGGGGTATAAACGTGAGAAATAGTAATAATAACAAAAAGAACTACATTTAAATATAGCATGGTTATTACAGAGTCACAGTATAAGAACCTAAGAAGCACCTGCCTGGCGGCTGGGTGACCAAAGGCCCATCTAGGCTGCATTTGAGCCGTGCCATTAAAGCACCATGGGACCTCTTTAAACAGTCATGGCTTCCCCCAAAGAATTCTGGGAGCTGTAGTTTGTTAAGGGTGCTGAGAGTTGTTTGGAAGCCCCTATTTCCCTTATAGAGTTAAAATTCTCTGAGTTGTAACGGGACAGTAATAAGGTGTCTCTTAAAAGCTCTCATTCCCCTTATCAAGCTACAGCTCCCAGAATTCTTTGGGGGAAACTATGACCTTTGTGCTTTAAACATAAAGTGGTACCTCAGGTTACAGATGCTTCAGGTTACAGGCGCTTCAGGTTACAGACTCCGCTAACCCAGAGATAGTACCTCGGGTGAAGAACTTTACTTCAGAATGAGAACAGAAATAGTGCAGCGGCAGGAGGCCCCATTAACTAAAGTGGTGCTTCAGGTTAAGAACAGTTTCAGGTTAAGAACGGACCTCCAGGACGAATTAAGTACATAACCAGAGGTACCACTGTATAGTGAATGTCACCCTGGTCTAGCAATCTAGGATCACAATGGCCGGCCAGTTGCCTATTATGGGAAATTCTCAAGAAGGAGAGGTGAGAATGACGGCCCCCGCCTTCCCTGCTTGTGCTCCCCATGAACTTTTATACCTCCTCCAATAGTGGATGTAAAACAGAGCCATCATAGCTACTGTGGTGTTCTGTCTATTTCTATGAATAGCCTCCCCATTTCCATGTACTTATAATTATAGTGGACCCTCCAGATACAAACGTACCGTATTTTTTGCATCTAGAGGCACCACTTCTGCGCACACATGCAGCACAATAGAGCACTCATGCGCACAGAGCGCTTATGTGCATGCACGCACGGCGAAACCCGGAAGTATACACTTCTGGGTTGGTCGCGTTCGCAACCCAAAAGTTATGTTACCCAAAGGTAACGTAACCCGAGGGTCCACTGTATCTCAATTAGGAAATTATACGTGCTGTTCTCCCATAAGAATGATCAAGATCACAGGGTGATACGTTAAAAAATACCTCTCAATAATATCATAAAATATACTCAGCATATAGAATTGCTGCCTTCCAGTGCAGTTCTGTGTAAGCTCAAGTTACTCAGAAGTAAATTGCATTGTCAATGGGGGCTACTTCTAGATAAGTATGTGTAGGATTACTGTGACAGGCTGCAACCCAAAACAATGGAATGTCAAGACAATTTTTTTTGGTGCACCAGTGGGGGAATTGTGGGTTTTCTTCAATGATAAACTGTGGCTCCTTGCTGTATGACAAACCATGGTTTATCTTTCTGTTTGTCCTGGTGCAGTATTTAACCTATTAGGAGTTTTTTTAAAAAATAATAATTTACCATCTTAGTGTATATGTTAGAGGATAATTTATCAGACCCTTAAAATACAGAGGAAAGATTATTTTGCACTCTCCCATTTTTCTTCTGCAGATATTCTTTGCATAATTTGGAATAAATTATACAGAATTTTATTTGTATGCTGCCTTTCCATAGTTTTTAAAACCATGTTTAAGGTGGCTTACAACATGAAAAAACCATAATTACAAACAAATAACAAAAGTAGTCATAAACAATAAAACATTGCAAAGTACACAACTAAATTAAACAATTACCATAGAAATCATAATAAGATCTAAAATAAAGATGCAAAAAATATCAAAAACAGCAACAACCCTGCCCCCCACAAAACCCTCTAAGCCAGGGGTAGTCAACCTTTTTATACCTTCTGCCCACTAATGCATCTTCCTTGATGGTAAAATTTCCTTACCGCCCACCAGTGCTCGATGGAAGGAGGATTCAGCTTGTGCCGTAGAACCCCCTACCGCCCACCTAGAATCCTGAAATGCACCCACTAGTGGGTGGCAGGGACCAGGTTGACCACCCCTGCTCTAAGCAACACCCCAATCCAAGAATCTGTTCAGCAGCCTCAGCTTTTGTAGCTGGAGTCAGTCAGAGACCTGACCTCACAGGCCAGGTGGAAAAAGATCTGCAACACAAGGAGCAAGTGTTCAAGATGGTCTCTGTGATTCTCATTTGTTGTGATAGAAATATTTTGAATGCATTTTAAACCATTTATATTGTGCAAGCTGTAAAACAAACCATCCCCAGTTTTAAATAAATAATGAACACAAATGGTTTTGTTATTGGTTGGCAAATCAGTAGAGTCAAGAGACAAACTAAGATGAAAAAATTAATGTTTGGGAAAGTATTCATTCATTCATTCATTCATATAAGCAGGTACAGTTATTATGCAAGCTTTCCCTCTTCTGTTTCATGAGATACACTTAGAATTATGCCATTGCCTTTTATACCACTGGATTTCAGTTTCTAAGCAATTTCCATGGTTAGTCTGTTGCAGCAAATTTGCCACAATACTGTTAAAATTTGCAAAATATTTAGCCCACTTTCCATCACCGTTGTCCTCAATTAGAATACTTAATCCAAAGAAGTTAGGAATAGACACAATAACATCATGGGACCTGGTTATGACTTAATAGCTGATGGATAGTGATCTGCGCTTAAACTATGATTTCTCAGCATTTATAAACCATGTTTCTAGTACCCAAGCAGTGTGCAAGATAAAAGTTAACTGATCTCCATCTAGTCAATATTAAGTTCATTTTATTGTTGTTATTAATTCATTATTCTGCCTTTTCTTACACAAAACCAGGGATATTCCACCTAAAAATGGTCACGATGTGTATTTCTCGCGAGATATTTATGAAAAATACTCATTGACTCCAACTCTCTCTGAGCTACTGTTACTACCAAAAAGGTACCAGTATACCCTTTCTTTCTAACTTTGGTTTGGAAGGCAACAAACATTCTAGGAAAGAACACATAGGCTTATTTTATATTATTTTTTATATTGTGCAATAATTTGAATAATAAAATTGTGTGTGTGTGTTTGAAAAAACAGTTAAATTATACATCATCTAGCACGTCACATTGCACTTGCTACAACAGGCAGAAAAATATTTAAGTGATCTGCCAAGACTCTCAGCCATTTTCAAGTGTCCAGGCGTGCAGAGGGGTGGTGAGTTTGGGAACCACTGCATTAGGACTTATTTTCAAATAAGCATATGTCATTGCAGCTTTACATTACATTCCGTGCATGTTAACTCAGAAGTTCATTCCACTGTGTCCTCATGTTATTAATTAGTTGCTTTTCAGGGAAAAGCCTGTACAAAGCAGCAGGGAGAGAGAGGATTTCCTTTGGAAAGGGAATGATAGCAAGAATCCTGAACCTGGGACCTAGCTTGTGAAGAGAAAATGGGACCAGTATCTCCCCCTTCGTCTCAGGAGTTAACTTGGGGAGCGGGGAGAGAGAGAGAGCTTTCCTTAACTGCATCTAAGGGAGGCTGTGGTTGTGGCTTCAACAGTTTAGGACAGAACTTGGGGAGGAGGAGTAAGTGAGGAGTATATAGTTGCTACAACATATAAACAGATAGTCACCCCCATGAATACAGGAATGTTGCTCTATCTGTATTCCATGATGCCACCATTAAGGACATGGAGAGACAAAGGCTGCTGATGGAAGAACAGTGCCCCCAAGAATGTGTGGATTCGCACCTGAGATGCATCCCTTCTCTCCTCATAGAAGCTGTGATCTGAGGAAGAAGGGAGTCTGCTGACAAAAGGGTCAGTCTAAATAAAGAACAGGCTGGCGATGTAGGTGAAAGGGGGCTGTCGAAGTGATTTAGGCTTGCATTCTGCTGAAGGCTTTGACAGCAGCATGCCGTGAAATAATCCTGATGGGCTGCCGTCCCACTCCTCGTCAAATGTAGCTAATTTAAGCTGCTAGAATCACTTGACATTCCTACATCAGGCACATCTGAGTCAGCATCTTGTTGGTGTAGCAGCTTAATTAAATTTGCCAGTTCGTGCCACAAGGATGGACATGTTCTCTCATTCTGAGAGACAGCTGTGTAGTATTATTAAGAGCTGTAGACATGATACTGTTGAGACATTTTCCTGGTGTGTAAATCAAGTCTTTCTTTTTCACTAGATCAGCAGTTAACACTCAGTTTAGTTAATCCAAAATGTGCTTATTACTGAGCATGCTTATATGTTAAATAATTAAGAGGTAAGCCAGCCATCACCCATTAGAGTGTTTTGAGTATCATCCGTATAATTGATAGCACCGTTTGAGGACCTATGTGCTGTGGGGTAGCATTTATATAACATAAACTGTCCTGGATCCAAAGTGCCATAAATCAAATTTCATGAGCCCAAGGGGCCTTTATGTTTGTTTTTCTCATAAAACCACTCCGTATGCCGTCTGACATATTACTTATACAGCTGAGAAGGGGGGAGGGGGGATACTTGAAAAATAGTCAAAAAATGAGCTCACATGAGCCTCTTACTTACAATGAAAGAACACAGTGGGACTTGTTTCTGAGTAAACATATGCAGGATTTCACTTAAGTGGTTTCTTGGATCTTGGCCATTGACCAAGCTGGTGGTGTTTCTTCAAAGTAGTCATTCGGGTTTCATTTGTTTTTAATATTCTTTGGGGGAAAGAGATAAACATGATGGTTTGACCAAACTAGTTATGAATTTTTGTTAGAACGTTAGGTATTAAAAATGTTGTAGTAGCAATATGAATTATGCTCCCTGTTGAATGAGAATTAAGGCTGTTGGTCTTGTAGGCTTTTCCCTACATTTTTAAAAAATTGTCTGTATTTGTTTCAGGCAGACAGAAGGCAATGCAGGCATATCAAAAGATGTATCAAAAGAAAACAAGTCTTCTAGCGGGCAGCCTGCAGTAAAACCAGCTGAAGCGGCATTCCAATCTGCAGCAGAAATTGCATCTTTTCAAGAGCCTAGAGTCCCCTATCCTTACTTTTCTAGTTTGACAGAGAAACAACAGAGGAGATACTTATTTCTGTTGTCTGCATACTTAAATGCTGATCCCAGCCTGATCGATCCATCTGAGCAGAAAGATCATTTACAATATCTGGTAAGGGTTCCGTCTCTATTTCCCATAATAGTGACATGATTTGCTAATAAGAAGCACAAGTGTTCCTAGGCAGCCTTTCATGGAAACAGTAGTGTTGTGTCTGATTGAAGTACAGGCACATGAAGCCTACTGTATGTAGTTCTATAAACTCAGGAAGCTGCCTTGTTCTTATAGTGCAATACTCTCCCTGGCAGCAGCTCTCTCCAAGTTCTTCTCCACAGATCCTTTTTCGCTGGAGCTGCTAGGGATATACCTCTACCTACTAGGTGCAAAAGGGACGCGGGTGGCGCTGTGGCTTAAACCACAGAGCCTAGGACTTCCTGATCGGAAGCTCGGTGGTTCCAATCCCCCCGACAGAGTGATGTCCCGTTGCTCGGTCCCTGCTCCTGCCAACCTAGCAGTTCAAAAGCACGTCAAAGTGCAAGTAGATAAATAGGTACCGCTCCGGCGGGAAGGTAAACGGTGTTTCCGTGCACTGCTCTGGTTCGCCAGAAGCGGCTTAGTCCTGCTGGCCACATGACCTGGAAGCTGTACGCCGGCTCCCTCGGCTAATAAAGCGAGATGAGCGTGCAACCCCAGAGTCGGCCACAACTGGACCTAATGGTCAGGGGTCCCTTTACCTTTACCTTACTAGGTGCAAAATGTTTTTTCTCCAGCCAAGCTATGGCTGCTTCGTGAAAAGTTTTGTGTAAAGTAGTTTGCCTTGTAGATCTGTCCCTTTTCCCTACCCCACTGAGAATTGCAAAGGAAGAAGAGGTTGCAGTAGCTTGGCGACTCATGAATCCTGATAGATGATGAAAATCACCAAATCCACATTTCTGGAGCAGCAGGTGCATTTCAGGTGGCCTTGGGGAAGGGCTGTAGCTCAGTGTATACTCAATACACAGAGTTTGTGTATTGCATGCAAAAGATCCCACATTCAGTCCCCGGCATCTCCACTTCTCCTCTGTCAGAGGCAGTATGCTTCTGAGTACCAGTTCTCTGGGGAGAGCGTTGTTGCCCTGGGGTTCTGCTTCTGAGCTTCCTCTGTTCCACTTTTGATTTTTTTGCCCCTTAGAATCAGGTGGCATACAAATTTTATTAAATATGCAAAACTCTGGACTATGCCTGTGTATGTGGCTGCCATGGAGCTGGCAGGAGAAGTGCACATGCAGTCCACTGTTGTCCCTTTTTGCCACCTGAATTTGTGCAAGACACTTTCAAAACAAGGCAGAGGATGGGAGCTGGAAAGAAAGCTGGATGGGAGGAAGAGAAATGAAGGACGCAGCAGCCAAGTTTGATTGGGGATTGGTGTGGAATGCTGTGCTGAGTGACAGCAGAGCAGTAAAGGAGAGAAGAGGGAAAGGGATAGAAAAAACTACCAGGAATGAGGAAGAGAGAGCCAGAAAGAGAATGAAAGGTCAGGAAAGATAACAGATAAGGCGAAGCAAGGGGCTGTGTGGAGCAAACAAAGGATTTAGTGCAACATTTTGGTTGTATCCAGTGCTTTTCTTCTAGAAAAAATGGTGCCAGTACTTCATACACTTGAATACCCCCAGAAAAAAGCATTGGTTGTATCTCTGTTGTGTGTATTCTTTTTGTAAACTCAGTCTAGACTACAACACAGCCTTGTCTCTTGGTCTTGTTATCCTATTAAAACCCAAGTAAATGTGTCTCTTTCAACACATTAGGATTGTGAATAATAGCTACTATCTAGATATATCTACATCTATCTGTAAAACATAAAGATGCTATATTATGTAGGTTCTGTTTGTTTTTTAGCAAATGAAAGAATTTGTAAGCAAAGAAGTTGGCGAGTTCTTGAAGTTTGCTCAAAATGCTGCCAGAAGTTGCTCTAAAGATTATAATAACATCTCAGAGGAGGCCATGCTTTACACCGAGGTAATAGCTGTAAAAGGTTGCTTTGCTGCTTTCTCACCTTTAAAAACATAGTTTGAAAACTACATAGGAAATGAGGTTTTATTAGCTGAGAGACGCTATGTGTAAGATGTTTAAATATATATATTCTGAGGGAACACATACCCTAATTTCAAAACAGCAACAAATATTTAAGTTGTATATATCTGCCAGTAATAAATGCAATAGAAGCAACTTGCATCTTATGCAGAGGTTATGTTTCAGGGATAGCATGTATTTGCAAAAATATATTTACCATACTTTTCCGTATATAATACTAGGGGTTTTTTTACTCTAAAATAATGTTCAAAAGTGTGCCTCGTCTTATATATGGATAGTGGATTGGGCGGGAGGGGGCGTGATTGGCTGCAGCCGCGAGCAAGAGATTTAGTGGCTGATTGTTGGCTGCTAGAAGGGCTGCTTTGGATTGGCTGCTTCTCCTCTAATTGGGTTGGTGATTGGTTTCTGCAGCAAGGACTGCTGTGGATTGGCTGTCACTGCCTCAATTGGCGGCGGCTGTTCTGGGATATGTGCGATTGTTAGCTGACACCTTTTCTCAGTCGAGTTAGTGATTTTCTGCTCGGGAAGGGTCTGTTGGTGATTGACTGTCGCTGCAGCAAGTGGGCGATGGATTAGCAGATGCCGGCATTTCCCCCCCCCCCCAATTATATATGGGGGAGTCTTATACATGGAAAAGTACTCAAATGCCGCACACAAACACATGCACACACAAACACACTCTTACCTTCCGGAGGCAGCACACCGGATGGGTCTTCCCCACACCCCCAGAAGAGAGCTTTTAAGCTCTCAGGATTTCCTTCTGGTCTCTGGGAGGCTCTTGTGTAAGTTAAAAGTTGCTTGTATTTCAGAACTTAAATTCCATTGTAATTTAGCTGTACATTATTTCTGAGACACCATTGCAAAAAGCACACTTTTACAACCGTATTTTCTTTTACCTTCCAAGAAATTTTTAGCATCTCGTATTGGTTATGTGACGAAGTATCCTGAATGCTATAACCTACAAGAAGTTACCAGCATCATGGGAGGAAAGTTCTGCACAGAACTGACATTTAAATTGGAAAAATGCCTTCTTGCTTTGGTAAGTTGTACTTTCTGGAGGAAAATGCTTTATACCAAGGCTACCTCTAACTCAGCATCGTCTACACTGGCTGTTGCTGGTGCTCTAGAGTTTCAGGCAGGGATCTTTTCCGGCCCTTCCTGGTGATGCAGGGACAACCTGAGACTTTCACATGTTCTCTGCCACTGAGTGAAGGCTGGCAGGGCACTTCTCATGACAGTTCTGGCACTGAACTCAAGTGTCAGGGACTGGTTGAACACAGAGGAACAGTGGGAGGAACAAGTTGGGGAACCCTTAAGGGAAGAAGTCTCAGAGCCTGGGGATTGGTGGTGGCGCGACAATGAATGGTCAGAGGGAGAAGACTGGGAGGAGGAGATGTCAGAAACTGAAGAGGTAGAAGAGCTTGGTGAGGGGGGAGAGTCTGGCAGGGAGAAGTCCAGAATCAGAGACAGAGCTGAACAGGAGAGTGAGAGGCCAAGAGGCAGAGATGAGTCAGGCTTGTGAAGGGGCATGGGGCATCTTCCCCCTCTTGCTGTGACAAGCTTTCCTGCCTCGGTCTCCCACAACCAGGGGAGTCATGGAGTGGGAGGAGCAAAGATGGGCATGCAGGCACAGTCTCTGATTGAGTTTTTTATATCTATAATAAAGAGTTAACTCCAGCTTGCTCAGTGTGATTTAGTGATGGCTTGCTGCTGTCACTCGGGCACCATTTTTTATTATTGGACAGTTTGAGTGTTATTATTTACAGTTAAAGTGAATACAGCCAGAACAAACTAAAAGAGGGAAGGGAGTTTGTTAGGGAAGGGAAAAGAGATGGGGGGAGGAATAGATTCCAGCAGAGCCCTCTGGACATGTACTTCATGCAAATTGTTCCAAGTATGGATCTCAAATGTCTGAGAACTTAATTCTCTTATGCCATTTGTTGAAGGTAGCTTTTCATACTTCACAGGAGTAAATAAGTCTTCTGACCACTGAGCAATCTGAGTGTAACATTAGTCATTTGACTAAGAGTGTGATCTTGAAAGAAACACATACAGTCATACCTTGGAAGTCAAATGGAATCCATTCTGGAAGTCCATTTGACTTCCAAAACATTTGGAAACCAAAGTGCGGCTTTTCATTGGCTGCGTGAAGTTACTGCAGCCAATTGGAAGCCCCGTCGGATGTTCAGCTTTCAAAAATTGTTTGCAAACCAGAACAGTCACTTCTGGGTTTGCGGCATTCAGGAGCGAAAACGTTTGAGAACTAAGCTGTTTAAAAACCAAGTGTCAGGTGGTGGTGTGGTTGCTTGAGAGCAAACAGGCAAGACTCCGACCTGTCTTTTCCAGGCTTTATTCTGGAAACTATTTACAGTGAAGAGTGTCATAAGTTCATGTCTGGCTCAATCGCTAGCAAAATCTGGGAGTGGTCGGTCCTTGTACCTCCCCCAGCATAACAGTCGCGTGACCCCCAATGTTCTCCTCCCCTCCCTGTGCCAAAACCTACTGTGCAGAATTGGCGCTGGCAAAGGGGTACTTTCTTCCTCTCCAGTTTGCTCAGGCTCGGTGTTGACCATCTCCTGGTCCCTGCACCTCCTCTCCACTGGAGGTGGGGTTTCCCTGCTCGCCAGAGGAGGAACTGCTTTGCAAGATTTTCAGAGGTTCCCTATAACACAACTGCACTTTCACCTCTGAGCTGATGGCAGGTCTCTGATACCAAGGGTACAACTGTACTGAAGTTTTCTGTTCATTTGGAAGCCGAGCCAAAAGTGTTGGTTCTCTTTTTTCATTCTAGGGAAAGGTGAGCCTTGTTAAGCGATACTTTCCAAAACTGCCTGCACCAATACAGTTACCTGATAACCATAAAAATAAGGTGGACATTGCAACTCCAGAGCAGAGAGCTTCAACACTTCACAATGTAAGTAAATGGTATGCTGTCAGCAAGAACTATGACCACACAAACCCCTCAGTTGTGAACCAGCTGTTCTTAACAAACTATTCCTAGTGATTATTTTCTGTCAAAATGTACATCACATCACCTAATCAGAAATGACTTTTGTAGTGGCTGATACAGTTTAATAGAAGGTGAATGGAGACAGATACAAGTTTTAATTTGGTCTTGGATCCAAAGAACTGAAGGAGCAGAGAAAAAAATGTGTTTGTACAGTTGTGTGAATGGTTGTACAAGTGCTAGTTGAAGGCTTCTTGCAGTGGAGCAACCACAACATGTTGGGGGTCGCATTACACTATGAGAAACTCAGTTAATAAACAAGATGTGGTGTGTAACATGTAAAATCCAGTGCACTGCAAGCAGTTTTTTTTTTTAACAAGAACCTCTGCAGAGGCTTACCTAAGTGCTTACACTCTTGGGTTTGAGAATCAATTTTCTTGTGTATTGATCTTCCACTAAGCTGGAAGTGATCCTTTGGTGGGCACGCAAGGCTTTTTGCTAGAGGAACAGTACATTCAGAACCAGATGTCCACATTAATCAGTGTTCTTCAACCTTGGTTCCCCAGAAGTTGTTGGACTACAACTGTCAGCCTCCCTAGCCACCTTATCCAATAGTCCAGCAACATATGGGGACCTGAAGTTGAACACTGAGTGAGTGAGCTTTTGTTCTGAAAAAGCCTTTGGCATTTTGCTCTATTTTCATTGTGGTTTTATGCACCACCTAAAAGTGCACTACAGCTGAAGAATTCTTCCAAGAGTTATTAGGGCATCTAATCATGCATGCAAGCAAGTTGCTTCCATCTTTAAAATCATTAGTGTTTGAATCCATGAAAATATATCTGCAGTATTAATAAATATTTAGAAATATCCCTGCTTTAGAAATTTGGCTCCTCTTTCTCCCCTGCCCCCAAATCAAATGATTTTCCCCCATAATATTTCCCCCTCCTGGATCAAGTACTTTCAGTACATGTCTAATAGTGGAATGTCATATTGCTCTTACTCTGATTTCTCATTTTTCCCCCAAAAAGGATGTTAGTACAGATCCAAATGCTGAAAAACTTGTATTGAAATATGGTCCTCAGGTAGTGCTGACGAGTGAGTCATTATTTACATTGTTGAACAATAATGGTATGAGTTACAGTGAACAGTGGGAACTTCCGGTTTCTGTGAAAATCATCTCTAATGAAGGTATATGCATGTTATTTATATATATACACACACATAGAAATATATTTTGAGCCAAAGGGCTGGTGCTTATTTTCTGGTGCATAAAATATAAATTGTGTGTTTTCATACATATAGCAGATATCAAATTAGAATATTATTGCCCTGACAACATTTCCTGCTAGCCCTTTGAAGATGCTGGTGAATTTTGAACTGTACCCACATACCATGGGGGGTGCCTAGTTGAACTAATTGAGACTTCCTTCTAAGTAGACATGTCTAGGATTGCGTTGGACATGCTTAAGGGTTTTGCTGTTAATCTCTTGGAATTATTCTGGAAATGAAGGGGGAGGGGGAGATTTCTTTGTAGTGGGGAAAAAGGTCAGTAATATCCAGAGGTATTTTACTGTGTTGCAGCAAAAACATGACTTTGGTTAACAAACATCAGGAAATAACGAAGAACAGGAAAAATAGGCAAAGCAAAATCACAAAGTTTATAGAGAGAGATGCACAGATATATTGCATCCTTCTTACTACTTAGAACAGTAACAGTGTCCAGAGACATGGAGCACAACTAATAATGATTTCTGGTGATATTTTCCTGCTACTTTTTCCCACTCCCTAAATTGTTCTCCCAGGTTGATTATGACCATTGATTCTATTGCTACATAATTATTTGCAGTTATGCAGGAGAGGAGTCAAGGAACGGATTTGGTATACTGGTTCTCCTCCAACCACTCAGCTAGTTTTTGTGGTTTTTTACTGTAAGGACAGTTGAAATGCAGTGGTTTGTGAAAAGAAAAGGTTTGTGAGAAGCAGAATAAAAACCCCGGAATTATAGTTATTATCATCATCATCATCATTATTATCATCATTATTATTCCCTGTCCATCTTGCTGGGTTGCCCCATTAAAATTACTGGGGGGGGAGTCACTTTTATTTCTCTGCTGGTTAATGCATCTTCTCACATCTTTCTTTAATTAAAAGGAAAACAGGAAGTTAATTTGTAGGTAGATGTCCAAAAAATAACGATTGTGCTACTGGAAAGTGAACATACACTTTTTTTTTCCCTTTAAAGGTTTCAGACCAGTCAAAGTTGCCTATATTGATCCCCCTCTCCCAAAGAAAGAGATGGCAGTGAGAGAAAAGAACCATTTGTATCATGAATTTCTGGCAGATTTCCACATGACTAAAAAATCAAGCATTTTGGCACATGTTGCGATACTAGACAACCCACCTGAAGGACTTGTGAGTTCCATTTTTATGCTTATTTAGTTTTATTGACCACAAGGGAGAATTTAACTTTCCTGCAACTTACGAAATGGTACTGGATTATCTTGTGTTCCCTGATCCTGCATAGAAATCTGCTACAGAATATCTGTTCTTGCTAACCTCCCTTTATATTTTGGGGTGGGGGAAGTTTTAAGTCATCAAGGGTTGCATGGATACATTTCTTAAAAGTGCAAGCGCTCATCTTGATCCAGCTCTTCTTGATACAGCTTAACCAGAGTCTTTTCCAGAGTGCTTTACCTTTGGTTTCCATTGGTACAGAGCATTTCACCATGCAGAATGAAGGTGCCCCTTGTCATGCTGAGTCCCCGGGTGGGCTGGGTCTCTGCAGATCTTTAACTTTCAACCTGCCTCAGTTTGCCCCCCTGTATACAAGGATTTTCTCTCTTTGTTCTGCATGGCTGCCAGATAAACACACAGGAAGCTGCCTTATTCTGAGTCAGACCATTGTTCCATCTAAGCCAGCAGAGACTGGCAGATGCACTCCAGGGTTTTAGACAGGAATCTTTCCAAGATTTACCTGGAGAAATTACCTTCTTGGTAAAAATAAATAAATGAAACTTTCCCATGTTATTTTTACAACTACCCCCTGTGAGGTAGTTTAGGCTGAGAGATAGTAACTGGTCCATGGTCACCTAGTGAGCTCCATCCAGCGTCTCCTTGTTCCCACCCCAACATTCTCAGCCATTACACCACACTCTGTACTATGCAGTGGATACAGGTTTCCCTAAACCTGTATTCTGACAATAAAATGTGGCTTTTCTTGATGACAAATGTTGGCATTTAGGGTGGGCGTGTATGTACTTGTGACATTAGTGCCCCCTTCTCTCTCCAGGGAGCTCAGGGCAGTGTACTATTTAACCAGTTTTATCTGCACAACAAACCTGTGAGGTAGATTAGGCAGAGTGTGGGTTACCCAGTGAGCTTCATGACTTTATGAACACAGCTCTTCACAGTCCAAGTACATCACAGTGTTGAGTACAGCACTGGCTCTTAAATGTCACTATTTCCATTAATGTGCCTAATAACAGAAAATGAGGCAAAATTTGAACAGGTAGCTAATTTGCAAATCCTTCTACAAGAACATGTTTTCGTCACTGATGAACTCGGTTTGAAAATCTTTGAAATGTTTTCCCCATTCCAGTGTATACCTTCTAAACACTTCCATTTCCCTTGTTTTGCTTGTATCAGATGTAACAAACGAACCACAATTTGTCAGAACATATGATGTGCTCACTTCCTTCTCTTACTGTGCTTTAATTCAACTACAGTTTCCGTTATGTCCAAACAAGGAAATTGTGATTTATTATATTGAGTGCAAGCCCGGATCCAATTCTGGTTTGTAGTCTGAGATTAAGCCACAGTTTCCCAGTTCCCTGAAACAAAATGTTCCCTGAAACATTTTGATGCAGAAATATTGAATAGGCTTCATATATTAACTGTTAAGCAGATCATTTTGTTCACTGTTAAGAGTGGCTCTCTATGTAATTTTTTTTTGTTTTTCTTCTTTAGCTGGGAGCACCACTTGAAGCATGCCAAGGTAGACGGCTTCAAGTACCTGACTCTATGGATCTAGACTTTGGCACTGATGTGACAGAACTAGAGACGTTTGGTGCTGTATCTAAGCATTCAAATGCTTCTAAACTGGATAACATTCCTGCAAAACCTGCCAGTATATCATCAGAGCATGTGAAAATGGAAAAAGCACCAGTGTTGAACATGAACAGTGGCACAAGCTCGCAAACATCCGACTCCATCAGCCTAGACAGTCATACCAATGTCACATTGACAACAAAGCCTTCTACACCAGAGAGCACTCCTGTGAAACATGAATATATGTCAGAAATCTTATCAAAGCACCTGAAAATAGAGAAAGAGTCAGTGTGGGAGGTAAACAGTGATGTTGGAGAAGGAAGGAGCAAAGGCCCTGAACGGAGGGTAGAATTAAGCACAGAACAGGATTTTAATAGGACTCCAGCATTAAGTGGTGGTGTCTTGGGTTTGGACTGTGAAGCAATTTCATCAGTTAAAGGATTCAATTCGATGGAAATTGAACCAGATGGCAAAAGAGTTGTTTACATCAAAGATGAAACTCTGGACAAGAATACCTTATTGACTCTAGATAAAGATAACGTCAAGGAAGGAGGTTTGGCTGATGTAGCCAAAGATGATAACTCGTCCATTCTCTCCTGCTGCAGTGACACAGATGAGGAATCTTTGATAATTGACACAGGACATAAAAATGGCACTGACTGTGAATCAGGTGTGGTTGCTTCTGACCCTGAAGCAGTTACTCCTGAGTCTCCTTGCTCGAAACAAGCCCTGTTAGGAAAACTGGCAGATCCTTCAAGGATTCCAGTTCAAGAAATGGCTGCGTCCAAAAAAGATTGTGAACAGATGTCTAAAGAATTTGATCCTGTTGGGCAGATTTTGAAAATGCAAGCTGAACTTCTCAAGCCACCTTCTCCACACCGACAAGAGCAGCCACAGATGAATTCTGAAAGAATCCCGGCACCAAGCCAGGAGTATCCACCATCAAAAGTACCTTCTGCTATGGAGCCCAAGCAAAGTACCACTGTGGATACCAGTAACTTACCCAAGGTTACCTGGACATCATATTTTCAGGGATCTCAAAAAGGTGAGTTTTTTGGTGGCTGTGCTAAGAATGTGGTCCCTGATTGGGCAAAACACTACCAGAATCCAAGTGGTGTGCAACAACTTCTGGGACATCCTGGCCAACCGTCAGCACTTTCCTCTTTGAGGTTGAATCCAATGTACCCATTAGTCAGACGGCATCCTTACATGTTGCAGGGCAGAAAACACACCTTTTAAATGGGCGCAGCCTAGTGAATGTGATGAGATATCGACCAACTGTCTTTTCCCTCTCTCTTTTGGGAAGACATGGTTTGGGATGCAGCTGAAGATTGTTTGGAATATGAACCTCCTCAACAGGGCAATCTTATCTACAAGCTGTTCAGCCTTGGCGACCTGCAGCTACTGGTGCGCTGCCCTGTGCAGAAAGTAGAGCAGAGGCCATCCAACAAGAAAGCAAAAGTCAAAAGGGTAAGCTTTTGTGTTAAGCGTGGCTTGTGTTTTTCCAGACATGTAAAAGAATGCAGTTTTCTCTTTGAGCCAATTCACTTGCCACCTCCTTGGTCAGTAGCCAGAGCTTAGTCCACTTTGAGAAGGTGGATCATAGAATTGAGTTTGAAGAGACCACGAGGGTCATCCAGTCCAGCCCCCTGAAATGCTGCACTCTTTTGCCCAACTCGGGGCTCGAACCCACAACCCTGAGATTACGAGTCTTATCCTTAATCAACTGAGTTAGTGGCTTAGCTCCAGCTCCCACCCGACAGCATCCTCTTGCTTTAGCTGCAGCTCCCTCTGAGCCTCTCCCCACTCTGGGTGGCTGACCTGCATGCTGTGCTGGAGTGCTGGCAGCAGCTGCAAGTCCCACTTTCTTCACCAGAGCAGAGAATGAGGAAATGAGGACTCCCTGTGCTGCTGCTTTCCCCACTACCCCTTTCCACCAGCTCCTTGTGTGCAGCATCTGTGTAGTTCATTGTCTTCCAAGACTCCTTTCATTAAAAGAGTCCTATAGTTCTATGGTGGAAGGAAGTTAGGGGGAAAAACTACTTAAGATGCTTTTCCTGACACTTTGTTTGATCATGTAAGCTAAGCACACAAATTTGTTGCTGCTTCTGTTGTTGTGCCAGCTAAGCAGAAAGATGAGGAGCCTCCCAGGATGATTGGAGGCTCCTCCATTGCAGCTTGGGATGTGTGAACAACAACATGGTTGGGGCTCCATTTCTCCATAAACAATCAGCTTTGCTACTTGAGGGTGCTGTTAGATAAGTGTTTCTCAAGCTTGGGTCTCCAGCTATTGTTGGACTACAGCTCCCATCCTCCCTGACCACTGGTCCTACCAGCTAGGGATGATGGGAGTTGTAGTCCAACAACAGCTGGAGACCCAAGCTTGAGAAGCACTGTGTTAGATCCATGCCTTGCTACAGATGCCTCAGTGGCATCTGTAGTATGAAGCACATTCCCCAGCTAAGGTTGCTCCTCGACAGAAAGGGCCTGGCCACTGTTATCCACATCCTGGAAAGCTGTTTGTTGTTTGGATGATTGCAACCCATTATAGGTGAGGCCACCTTTGGAGTTTCCTCACACTTCAGTTCATTCAAAGTACAGGTGCTAGACTACCAGCCAGAATAGGAATTTTCCAGCCCTGCTGCCTGAGTTCCTTTTAACTGGAGAGCCAATTCACTGTGGATTCACCAGGAGCACTGTGCTCTGCTTCTGATCTATGGACCTACTGCCTCCACAGTTTAAACCAGAATCCAATCTAGGGTTGATGGATCAAGCTAGTATTATGGTTATAATACTATAACCATACAAAGAACTTGCACTGACAGAATTTATGTACTGCAAATAAAATAAAAGTTCTCCATTTCAAAAATCCCTACTGTTTTGTTCCTTTCTGCTATGTAGTAACATTCTACTGCCAATGCCATACAGTGAAATGTAAGGGGCAGGGTTTATCCTCTTAAGAATTGGAGAGGCATACGTTTGGGGAAATGTTATTGGTACTCTGCAGAAGATAAGTAACACAAATGATGCTTATAAAATTAGTTTGTGGGGAGTTGCCTCAGAATATCTTAGGCCTCTTTTTGTCCTTGAACTTCCTAAAGGTGGCAGCATTGCACTTCTGGATTTTCAGAATGCCCCATGCATTCCATTCACATAGGTGCAAATGTTGTTAAGTACAATGAAGTCAGGTCATATAATCAGTATCTTTAGATTGTGGCTATCCATAACAAACTTTCCCAATGTGAGTAGAATGCACTGTATCAATGATGACATATAGAGCCATTACCAATATGCATCTATGCAAAATTGAAACCACGGTGTGGTTGTGACCTCAAGACTGTTTATTCTAGCAGTGGCAATTACTGCTGTGGTGCTCTTAAGAGAATACAAAAGGGTGAGAAACACTGTACTTTTTTAATTTACCCTGATTCTACAGAGCTGAAGGGAGGCAGACTCTGAGCTCTCGTAAGTTTTCCACATTTATATCCTCACAATGCATGTATCGCAAAGTTGCATAGCAGAGGAAGTGGGGCAGGGTGTCATGGGCTGCAGGGTACCCTCCAGCAGGTGGGCCCAGCGCTGCCTGAAAACTCAGTGCGGGGTGGGACGTGGGTGGTGCACAGCCTGCAGGGCGCTCCAGCTGCTGCATCCCTCCTGGTCACAAGCGGGCTCAGTGCTGCCGGAAAAAGCAGCATGGGGTGCACTGCTGGAAGGGCACCTGGAATGGGCACCCGGGAGAGGCGTGTAAGTGCCAGCCTGCAGGTGTTCCTCCCAAGTCCTGGGCGCCCTCCCAGCGGTGCACCCCACAATGTTTTTTCCTACAGCGCTGGGCTGGCGCACGCCAGCTGCTTCCCTCCCAGGAGGGATGCATTCGCTCGGGCAACGCACTTGGATGCCCCACCTCCATGGCACACGTACCCCCTTGCCCCAGGCGCCAGCGGGAGTTGCTACGCTGGTGTGCATATTGTAGAACCTTCACAAAAAAGATAATCACCCAGAAGTTACTTCCTTTGCTACTTTGCATCTCAAAATAGTTTTCAGATTAAGGGAAGACTTCATGAACCCCAGGCCTGGTCCCAGATGAGTCCAGTCTGGCAGTGGCAGTGAATCAGATTCTGGTTATTTATGAAGTATATAGACTAAAAATATGTTAACCAAGTGAAAACACCCCCTCCCCTCCGGTTTTGCAGTACTTTCCAGTTTATGTATTGCCAAAGCTAGAATATCAAGCCTTCTATGGAGTGGAAGCATTAACTGAAGGTGAAGTATGTCGTCTGTGGACAGAGAGTTTGTTACATTCAAGAAGTACATTTACAGTTGGTAAGTTTAGTCCTGCTGAACATAAGTTGATTCGTTCTGGGTTAATATTTTCTGATCCTGCACTAAGGGGGTCGTAACTTCCTGTCATTTTCTTTCTGCAAAATTCTTCACATAACCATTTTTTTTAAAAAAATGGACCAACTGGGAATAATTTCTCAATGGAAAAACTATGCTGAATGTTCCAATATGTAATTAAGTCCTGTGGCATGCATAGGGAATTCATGGCCACAAAGATGTAGCAATTGCACTTTTGATGGACACCGGCCAGAGTTTGGGGATGCAGTCCCTTAGAATTCCACCAGGGGGCTGGAGCCTCTCTGATTGGCTACCAAGACAGCCAGTCGTGAGGGGTTGAGCCAGCACTTTGGGAGGGAGAATAAAAGGAGCTGTTTCTGAGGGATAGAGTTGGATAGGGATAGAGAAGGGAAAGAGATTGGAGATAGGGTGTAGTTTGGGAGGTGGGGATTAGGATAGGATTTGACTGAGGGAGAGCTGGTTCTGATTTGAGTTGAACATCCACACTGAGGAGACTAACTCTAGCGAGAGGAAAGAGCCTTGTAGTTTAAGATAGGAAGACCATGTGGAGTGTCTTGGGAGGGTATACAGCTGGAGTTATCTGGAGGGCTGAGCTTGAGCAGGGAGAGGGAGAAGCTGTGGGAATACAGACTCCCTGGGTCTCATTCCAGCCAGGAGGGGAGAGTTCTTCTAGGAAAAGAAGAATCCCAAGCCAGTAACAAGGGGTGAAGTGATCCCCTGGGTCTGTTATTCTAATCTGAATACCTCAGGAGTGGGATTACTAGTTAACTGACAAAAAGGACCCCTTTGCTCTTGAAGCAAATTAATAAACCGTGTTAAAAACATTGACCTGAAGCATCTGCTGGACCTAAGCATAAGGACCTAGAAAGGAGTAACAGAAACTGAAGTGTAACAGCTGATTTTGAGTAGAGGGAGTTTAAGAGAAGATGTGCCTGTACTACTGTGTTTAACCTGTAACATAATCATATTTAGCTTAAGTAATAAGTTAACTTCTACCTGAAAGAACGCATCTCCTGACCCAACTTTGTTTCACCAACTTCTTCTTCTTCTTTGTAAATAAAACTTCTCTTGTTTGGTTAACTCCTGCCTGAGACTCCTTGAATCGCAGTTTCTCTCACACAAGATAGCCTGTGGTAAACTGCAGACATTCATTTAATTGGCATACTGTGAGGTGGGTCCGCTATATTTAATTGGGAGCAGGATGAATCTGCTACATATTAATTGGTGGTTAGCGGTGGGATCCGCTACAGCCCCATGCATACAAGGCCTTTTAAAGGGATTAGAAAAACCCCAGGGAACATCAGTCTATTAGCTATGATAGCTAAAAGGAGCATCCCTTTTGAGAAGCAGCCTGTCTCTGCTAAACAGAACAAAGTCATTGCCTTCATGTGCTGCTTGTGAATGTTCAGAGATATCTGGCTGCTTGCTGTTGGAAACAACTGATCCCAGAAGGCTATTCTCAAGTAACGTATTACACAACTTGTAAGAAGAAAAATAAAATCAGGCCTGTACTTAGCAGAATAGGAATCTGAGTGTTTTGGATTATTGGTCCTTTCATAGAATCAAAGAATTGTAGAGTTGGAAATATCCAAAGGGTCATCATGACCATAAGCAACATTCTTTGGAGTGTTGAAGGCAGATTCTTGATAGTCAGTGCCCTTCCTAAATAGACTTACTCACTGCTATCTGTCCATGACCCTTCATTCCACTGCTAACAACAATACAGGGCTGGGTAAGAGACTTTTTGTTACTCCATTACTGGCTGGTGGAGAGTAGCACCGCACCCCTGGATTTAACCATCCAGGACTTATCTTTAGTTGTGCAGAGCAGTTGCTACTATGATATCATTTGCCTTGGAATAAAGAAATCTGTTCAAAACTGAGCACCCTGAGTTAGCAAGTTTACCAGCTCTGGAAATTAGCAAAATGGAAACATATCCCAGGTCCCCATTCCAGCAGCACAGCATAGTTTTAATTTGTCTACCCTTGTGATTTTTAAGAGCTGGACTAAATCAGTTTCACAAGTATGAGCATATGGCTTTTTCTACTTTTTAATGATATTGCATTTCATCATTTTATAAGCCGCTTTGTGGGGTTTTTGAGTGTAGGGCAAGGCAAGAAAAAAACCACACATACCTGGAAATAATAAATAAATCAATGCTTCTTTGAAGGTAGTTGAGTTACTGATAAAATATGCAGACTGAGGATGCCCAGCCTCTCTCTCCCTCTGTCTCATAAGGATTTCTTGGTTAGAGGGATAAAGTTTAAAAGCAAGCCAACCAAAAAACAAACAAACCCCCACCTCTTAATAATCTTCCTTTCTTGTGTAACCAGCCATGAAGTATGACTGATAATCTTGCTGTCAGGAAATTGACATTTGCTTGGAGTTGATAGCAGTATGTCGAATACAATGTCTATGTAAAGTTTACCTAACTTCAGAGCGCTTTTGGCAAAGCACATGCAGTGGCTGGAAAGGTGCTCCACATTTAATGGCTGAACTGAAATTCAAACAAAGCACAATACAGATTCAAGACTGCATTAGTTAGTAAGTGACAGAACATTCAAACAAGTAAGTGTTTAAATACTCTTCCCATCTCTGTGTACAGAGATGAATCAAATAAATTAGTTGCAGAAAGAAACTTTCAGTTCAAGTTTATTAATTGTTCACAGACTTCTGCACTTCAAAAAGCAAATGTTTGATTCTGTACACAGAAAAATCCAGAAAAGCCTACTAACAATGCATTTTTCCTTGTTAAAGATTTAAACAGGTTTAGAGCAAGCAATGCACATTGATAGCTGAACAATTTAGAGGGTGGTCAGTGGATGTTTTTGTTTGTTAGTTTTAAAAAAAGAAACCAGTACATTACCAGCCACCAGCTCCTATATGTGGCCCAGTGGTGACCAAAGGCATTTAAGGCTGCCTGAGACTAGACAGGTGGCTGTTTTAGGGGGTTCAGTAGAACAGTGTTTCCCAACCTTGGGCCTCCAGCTGTTTTTGAACTCCAATTCCCATCATCCCTGACCACTGGTCTTGCTAGCTAGGGATGATGGGAGTTGTAGTCCAAAAACAGCTGGAGGCCCAAGCTTGGGAAACACTGCAGTAGAACTCACTCCTGGGTAAGTACAATAGGATGGTAGCCATCAGGATTTGGGGTTTGTTGTACCTGGTCTCTCTTTATAGTTCTTAGTTTTGTTTTATTGAAGTTGTGATTGTGTCATGATCTTTTAATCTAAATGCTGGTCTCTCCTCCATTACTTGAGAATTTCCTTCATCTTTGTTGTGCAGTTCCTCATTTTTCATTGCGAAACGGTTTGGTATTTTTTCTTTTCTTCAGGTCATGTTGATGCCTTGACTTCAAAGTTGTTTCTGCTTGAGCAACTGCCTGCAGAAGGGCTGAAAAAAAGATTTGGCGCATTTAAGTGAGTGAGCTTCCTATAATGTAAAAATTTACAAGGTATTTGTTAATGACAGCTTCAGAAGAAGAAGCATGTCTGAACAAACCAGCTCCTTTTAAATGTCATTCCTCACGTTACTACACTGTTAACAGTGCATTTTTATTTTATAACATTGTTGTGACCACCCTGGTTGAGGTATATTCTCTATTCCAACTCTACATGTTAATGATACAAATAAAATACAGTACAGGGTTACCGCTTCACCAGGTGCTACCTGTTGGTTTGTTGTTATGGTTTGGGTAGATGATATACCGGTACTTAGGCAGAAAGCTGATGGATCATTTAATAAAACCAAATAGACAAATTGGATGACATTAAGTTGAGGGAGGGGACGCGGGTGGCGCTGTGGGTAAAAGCCTCAGCGCCTAGGGCTTGCCGATCGAAAGGTCGGCGGTTCGAATCCCCGCGGCGGGGTGCACTCCCGCTGCTCGGTCCCAGCGCCATGCCAACCTAGCAGTTCGAAAGCACCCCCGGGTGCAAGTTAGATAAATAGGGACCGCTTACCTGCGGGAAGGTTAAACGGCGTTTCCGTGTGCGGCCTCTGGCTCGCCAGAGCAGCGAGGGTTCACGCTGGCCACGTGACCCGGAAGTGTCTCCTGGACAGCGGCTTGGCCCCCGGCCTCTTGAGGGATGGGCGCACAACCCTAGAGTCTGTCAAGACTGGCCCGTACGGGCAGGGGTACCTTTACCTTTAACCTAAGTTGAGGAGGGGGCCTTTCTTGTCAGGTGAATTTCCCCCATTAAACCATAGGTAGCACTTTCAGTTCACGTTGAATCCTTGCCAAAGCAGGCTTCTTTTCGTCATTGTGTGTGTTCGGAACAGTCAGGTGACACAGCCACACACTTCCAATGTTCACTTTGCTGTCATGATTTTGAAACTTTCCTTTTGTGAAAAAACGTAATATGAGATTCTCTTGCCAGATTTCCCACATGTCTGGTGCTGTTGTGGCTGAATGGGGCAGTACAGTGTTACTTCGGTTTTTGAACATCTCCATTGACAAACGTTTCGGTTTTCGAATGCTGTAAGCCTGGAAGTACCATATTCGCCTGAATATAAGCTGCACCTTTAAAATTGGAAGGGGGGGAGAGAGGAAAAAAACAAAAAACCTGGCTGCATATTGGGGGGGGGGGGAGCCGCGCTACATTGCCAGCGGCCTTTCCCCTTGTTTGCTTTCTCCCTTCCTGGCCTTGGAGAGGACGGGGGACTACGCACAGGGCAGGTGTCGCTTTGCCGCGCTCCTGGCTGCACACCATAAGTTTGTGAATATAAACCACACTTTAACTTTTTACGGTTGGAATTTGGGGAAAAAGTTAGGCTTATATTCAGGCCAATACGGTAAATGCAGTTTGTCAGAATTCACAAACTATGTAGCTGTATGTGTGTATGTTTTTGAGAGACCAATGATTTATAATGCACTAATTTTTAGTGTTCATGAAACACTTCCCTCAAATTATTTGTTGCTTATAAATGTTAATCTTTCTGTAAGTGTGGAACTGACACTTTTACAAGCACCACATAGGTACAAATAGTGTTAGTTCCATGCTTGCAAGAAACCTGTTGGTTTTAGGCAGGGGCCTTTGCTGTGTTGTTTTCAGCACCTGCTAAAAGCCTTTTGGTTTAGGCAAGCCTACCCAGACATATAATGTTAACATGCAATTTTATTATGCACATTTTTAGCAACTGTCTGTTTATATTTTGATAAGATCAGACACTAAAATCAAGTTAACATAGTTTTTATCAGCATTCTAAGATGAATGTTTTATATTCTAGGTAAACTGCTTAGAAGTTAAGAATGATTAAGTGGTATATAACCATCCTGTTACATTAATAAATTTACACATGCAGGCCAGCAAATTCACTGAATATTCTCCAACATATACTGAAGAAGGTGACTGGGTATGTATTTCCTTTGACTTTATTTCTAAATGGTCCATGGTCCTATGCTAATTTTGTGAATAAGTACCAGAAAAGCCCTTGCAGACTTGGAGCTCCAGGTGCATAAGGAAGGCTCACAAGCTGGAAGGTCCTCGGGAGCCATGCAGTGGAAGGCAACAAGAAGAGAAAAGGGGCGTGGGTAGCAGGAACCAGGACCAAGAACCGTGAAAGCTGCTGAGCCAAGGTTGTGAGAATGAAGAGAAGTCAGGGCTGAAGTCACGTGCTAGGCAGACCCAATGCAAAAAAAGAACCTGCGCTGAGAGAAGCCACATTCACAGGCCAGTAAGCTATCCAGCAGAGGAACAAAATAAGGAGAATTCTGCACTTGTTTAGCCAGCATCCTGACCTGACTTGAAAGGTTTTCATTCATTCTTTTGTTAATCTTTTTATATGGCACTTTTCCATGGGATTGTGACTATAGTAACTTGTAACATGTCGGACAATCAGCAATAATTAGCACAATTCAAAATTGGTGTGAACAATTGCAAATAACCATAGTGTTAGTCAGCAAGTACAAGGTAAGATTGTCAACAGTAGGAATAAACTGACCTAATCCAGCATCTTGAAACCAAACAGGAGAAGAGAATAGAGCTGAACATAGCAACAAAAATGCACTGTGCTCATTGCCAAACAACATAGGGTTCTCCATAGGCATGTTGTTTGCCAGCCACACACTTTGCTTGTGGCAGCCTTTCTCCCAGCTCTCACCTGGGTCTCCTTGCTGAATCTCTTCTCTCCATGTGGGAAGATAAAGATTGCCAGTCCTCCTTCAGGCCCTGGATGCACTCACAGTGCTGCTATTTCTCAGGCTCTCCCCCTTAAGCCCCCCTTCATGCACTGTCTTCCACACACAGGCCTTAGCGTGCTTCAGAGCAGTGGAGCAGGGTGTGATACATAGAAAGGCTCAGGCTCTTGATGTTAGTGTGCCTCCACCAAGCACCCCTTTCCAGTAGTTCTGTGCCCAGGAAGGAACCATTTTGGGGAGCCACAAACACGCCAGGCAGGGGAGAACAGGCTTCCTATGGATTGAGCACCTTGGAAGAACTGGTGACTCCAACTGCTAATCAGCCTATCTGCTATGTCAGAGATGCAAGTTCTGGGCATGAGAACAAGCTTGCTTGCCTCTCTCCTTGCTCCATCACTCCCAAGTGCTGAGTGCTACTTCATCTGCAGACTATACCCTCATGTGATATAAGCATGTGAAGGTGGTGTGCATCACCTGTGTACATGTGTTTCCCCCTACACTTTCTTCACAAACACATTTATTTGTTTAACCAATATATTATTTATTTAACACATATGTGTTTGTGAAGAAAGTGACACATGCTAAGAAGTCCTTGGAGTTGACTGGATCTAAAAGTCCCAAGTGAAAACTACAAGGTAGTAGAGTATTGGAGGGAGCATAGGAAACAGTTGGCACTCCTGGCTACCTGCTCAAACTTAATGGTGACAAAGCCTTCTCCATTCCTCCTCCCAGAACCAGTGGTTGAGGAAAACATCGTGGTGGTGAGGATTCTATGTGCAAGTTGTGTTTGCTTTCAAAGGACTTTGCATAGTGCAGGAGGTGGAACATTTAGCCTTGTACGAGTCACAGCTCTTAATGTTGTGGTGATCACACTAGAGTGCCTACTCCAATACAGTACATCTGGCAAATGGGAACAGAATACCCTTGTGCTCTTCCCTTTCTGTACTGTTCATTTGCTTCAAAGCCACAAAGCATACCATTTTAGCCTCCATTTGTACTTTTAGTTTGCAGGAGGGCTCTTACCTATTGGCTCATGCAGCAGGAGACTCTTCTGTTACCATCTATAAGAGCTGCGACGGAAAAGCCACCCGAGCAACGTACAACTTGCATTCAGCTCACTCTGCCCTGCCCAGCCTACCTTCTGCCCTCTCAGTTCCGTGGGTGCCACTAGATCCCAGCATCCCTCTGCCCTATCATTTTGCTCAAGGGCGAGTTCCATGCACTTTCCCACCAAAGCCAGCAAACCCTGTGAAGAACCAGAAGGTGAGATTTTAATATTATGTTTTCCATAACATGGGCATTTTTTTGCATTTTATGGCCATTTGATCTCACTATTTTACATTTATATATATTTCCAGTATACAGGTGTGCTTGTGTATATCTGCCAAGTGAAGATTTTATGTATTCATTCCTTTTCTGTTCCATACCTTTGACATATGAAAGATACCAGGGTGGCTAGTAATATGTAGCATAAACACTTCATACATCTGATGAAGTGGACCCTGGTCCACAAACACATGTGCCTTTTAAGGAACCACAAAGACTCTTGGTAGTTTTAGAAAATTGTATGTGGTTCCATTAAAAAAAAAGGAGCCTCGTGTTTTTCTTGACTGTGGCTGTGTGATTACTTCTAATGTAGGAAAACATGATTTTGTTGTTCCAGTTAGAAACATATAATTTTATGTGGGTGGTTGTTTCTTCTTTTTTCTTTGTAAATAAAACTAAACAGCTCCACTGAATGTATACATTTTCAGTCTCTTCCAACTATATAGTTGAAGCAGTGAGAAAATGTTCAATCTCTTGCAGCAGTGTGGCCTGTCTGACTTCCTTATGTGCTGCATCTACCCCACTATTATCTCTGCTAAGAGGCAACAGCTCTGGGGTTCCTTGCAGAGATCCTTCTGCCCTGAAATTATTTTCTAGTGATCTCAGGAGTTGAACCTGTGGCCTTCTCTTGACAGAGCCACAGTTCCTTGTGGGTTTTATTTGAAATATTTATGAGAATGGGGAAAAGAAATATATTCTGTAAAATCAAATATCTGGTCACCCTGACCTGCTCAAAAGATAAGGAAGAGCTTAACAAAGCTGCAACCTGTGATGTTATACTTGTAGACAAATGACCATAAGCATAAGAAACTTAAGAACTGCTCCATCTATTCCAATATTCTCCTTCTAACTGGTCAGCCAGGTACCTCTGGTAAGCTTGCAAGAAGAGTATGAAGGTAGCTGCATGACCCTGTTTGCCCCCAGCACCTGGTAGGGTTGCCATATTTCAAAAAGTAAAAACCAGGACACCCTGCTTTACAAAAAGGCCCCAAAAACATGTTATTTTTGGTTGACTTGCCTAAGATCCAGTACAAAGCATCGCCTTTCAGAAATTCCCCCCTGACATCAATTCCACCTTTGAAATCCCAGTAATGTCTGGGGAAATCAGGATGAATGGCAGCCCTCGCACCTAGTATTTGGAGGTCTACTGCTCTCTACATCGAGGCTCCATTTTAACTGCCATAGCTGATTGGTCTAATGACATCAATGAATTTGTCCAATGCTTTTTGAAGCGATCCTAAGCTAACAGCCCAGACCACATCCCATAGTAGCAAATTCCCTAATTACCTCCTGTGTGACAAAGTACTTTCCTTTTTATCAGTACTGAATCTACTGCTTATTTACTTCATTGAAAGACTTTAAATTCTAACATTTTGTGTGTGGGAGAGACATGCCCTCCTCTAAACACCACGTTTCCCAGGGGTAGCTGGTGAATGGTTTATGGAGTAAGCTTGAAGTCTAGTACTTCTTCAACTTGCTGATTGGTGTAAAACATTGAAGCTGCAATCCTCTGCATGTTTATTTGGGAGTAAGCCATATTGAACTTGGTGTGGCTTAGTGCTGAGTAAAGTTGCATAGTATCGCACAGTGTGTCTTAACACTGGGAATGTGGCCCAGTGTATAAGGGAAACAGCTGCTTCTGCTGCTATATAATCATTATTTAGTGCCAGCAAAGTGAAGGGTGTTATCCAGTATCCAAAAGTGACTTGTTGCCTCTCTTATAATATTAGCCAGAACAAGCTCAGAGGTGTGGATGGGACAGGGAGCAAACAGGTGTACTACAGCCTCCAGTGGAATTATACACCTCAAAAGTGTTATTAGCTTAAGCTATTTACCCCATCTATCATATAGATCTAGCTACACCAAATCAGGGCAGCTGCCTTTGATTAAATGCAAAAACATCAGAAGGCTTCCACATCACTTGTAGGTTTTCGGGGAACTTAAGATATAAACGCTTGTTCCTGAAAGCTCTACTTGTGTCTTTTTTCAGAGTAATTCAGGAAGTAGTTAGCCAGGAGCAAGATCACAGATCACTGGAATTTTTACAGATGCAGCTGAAGGGGTAATACTGTACAAAAATGCTGAGTATCCAATGAAGGCAGGGGTGTGTATCTGCAGAAGCTCACAGGTTCAATCCCTGACATCTCCAGGCAGGGCTGGGAATGTTCCCTGCCTGAAACCCTGGAGAGCTGTTGCCAGTCAGTTTAGCACTGCTGAGCTAGATGGACAAATGGTCAGACTCTGTACAAGGCAGCTTTCTACATTCCTTCCTATAAAGCAGACCCTTCACAGCAATATATCATGTAGTGTAATTTGCTCCACCCTTAACTGTTTTAGGACTGAGTTAAGGGGGAGGAGGAAGGTGTTTCACTGTCTTTCGTTTCTGAGCAAATGTTAGCAAAGTTAGGTAGACTCTACAAGAAACTTCACACCCTGAACTTTAATCAGATTTGAAGTAGTTTCCTCTTTTTCTCTCTCTTTTTCTTCCCTGTTCTTTTCACTCCTAGATGAGTGGGACAAAAGCACACACAGGCACACCCAACCGCAAAGAGCAAGTTCCCATGGAAACAAACAACGATCACCCGCCAGCTAATCCTTTTCGAAAGAGACGTGGGGCTGCCCAGAACAAGTCAATGATGAGAAATATCTACAGGCAGGCAAATCGAGGGTCAAATTGGAAGTTCTGGAAAAAACCAAAGATGAGCAAAGATGAGCCAACTTAGTCATTTGGAGGAAATGTAGAGCAGAAAATAACTTTTTTTGTCTGCAAATGACTGTACAGCCATGGAGAGAATGCCAGGATGGGCGAACTTAATCTGTTAAGAAATGCTGCTGCAAAACCTTTTGACTTATTTTCTGTATCCAGTCAAATTGGAGGAGGGCTGTTTCTATCAAGGCAAGTGCAGACCTGAAGCAACTATCTAATAGCTTGCTGTTACTGGGCCAGGTTGCAGGGAATAAATGTGGGGAACTTTCTGAACATCATATTTTATTATTAATAAAATTAAACCAGCCACAGCATGCCTTTCGAAACCAGCCGTTGCACTTAATTGATCTGGGCCAAAGCAGATCCATAACTGACTCTCAAGCAACCCCCACTCTGGCTTCTTTTGGTTTTTCTTGGAAGTTGTTTGACTCCCACATCACATCTCTTGGATCCTCACTTAAACAGCATGCTTGAAACAAGTACCACAGATACATGCAATGAATTTGTGTTGCAAACAATTACAGCCCAATGCTGCATTTTAAAAAAATACTATTTTATACTTGTTTGAAATTGAAGTAGGCTACTCGCACAAAGTTACTTTAATGCAGTTAAAAATAATAATATGATTAATTTTAAATGTTCCATTTGCATACTCTAAAAGTTTGAATTTGACTTTTCTCATCTGTTTGGTTGTTGATAGTGGTGTTTTTTTCTGTGCGTAGGTTGTAAAAAACACTTGTATTTTTATATCCTGAAATGATTCCAAGTTTGAGTCTTGTCAGCTTGGCTGCCTTAGTGTAATTTTAAGTTGTACATTGATAAACTACTTTTTTTAAAGAAAACATTATTGCCCTCTTCAGATACACAGGCGGGCCCTATCATGAAGTGGTGGTGGTGGTGGTTGGGTACAGCAACAGAGAGTTGCATCTGACTGATGTCACAGGACAGTTCTCCTGCTGAGCCTCCTTGGAGTAAACAGCTGTACAAGAACACCATAGGGTGGTTCTGCTGCTGCTGTTGAGTTTACTGAGTTTAACTGATTTGCTGTGAGTTAACTGATTTGTAGCCCACATTAGTAAATTTATAGCAGGCACCAAACTAACTTTTCATTTCAGGTATCTTTGGCCCTCTGAATGCAGACACACTCTGAACCTGGCTGGAATGTGTCAGTGAACTTTGTTAATGCCTTTTGCTTTCCTGGATGGAGAGGTGTTGTGAGAGGAGGGGCTGATTTTTGCATGGTTGGAATTTGGCTGCTGTACAAACATAAGGATGATATTTGTTTCTCTGTCCACTTCTCCTGGCCCTCTGCTCACTTCTGCCTCTCACCCTGCCACCTCTGCCATGTTTCCCACAAGGAAATGCAACCCTCAGTCTAAAAGAAGTTCCCTACCACTGTTCTAAACTGCACATTTTTATTAGGAGCAATTTCCTTGTCTGGGCTCCACTTAAAGAACTACTCTTGGTGAGAGAGAATGTTTTAAAACAAGTTCTGTGTTCAACAGTACGAACCTGTACAAAGAGACAACTACTTCATGACACAGAGGTTTAATACACTAACACCTTTTCATTCATTTGTCGCCTTGTTTACCTTCTGTTGCCATAGCAGACACCCTCTTCTCTGTTCCTCTGAAGTTGTTTCAGTTCCTTAATGAAAAGGAGCCAAGTTTGCTTTGCACTGTTGCTAAATAGTAGGTTCTGTTTCAAAACCATAAATCCAGTCTTTGACCTCCCACAGAAGAAATATTTTGGCGGTGAGTCATGTATGTGCTCGATAACAAGAGGGTGGGGTTCAGCGGCTCAGTTTTTCAGCTCGCTTTAAAGTGGGGAAAATCAAGGAATTTTCTCAACCTGTCTTTTAAAAAGGTTTACCTTTTACTTCTTGCTGCTCAACCCTCTGTTTAGAGGCCATTTGGTTGAGAGGCCTCTGACAGTTAACTGTACATGATTGCATACCCTCCCCCTTTTCTCTTGGGATGGCATTTCTTTGCTGCTAGCTGATATATGCAGATTGGCTGCTGCAAGGTTTAGGCTTTAGGGTGTTCTTGGTGTGGCACCTATTGCTTATGTTCCCATGGGAGATGCCAGGCCTGCTTCACTGAAGTCTTTTTCTATACAGGCAAAACTTGTCAGTCAGACTTTTGAGTGCCTAGAGCTTAAAGCTGTATGCTGAGCATCTGGGTGTGGCTTTCAAATGGTGCAGCATTTTGTATTCCTGTTTCTAAGGCAGCCTTTCCTAGCTAAGTGCCCTCCAAATGTTTTGGACTACAACTTCCAACAGCCCCATCCAGCATGACTGTATTACCATGGGGCTGGTGAAAAACTTCCATTCAGGTCAATGGAAGCAGGCTGTAGGTGCTCCAGGTTACAGGAGTGGGGGCAATGAGTTTTTCAAAAATCTAAAAACCCTCCCAAAGTTTCAAACCATATCAGGGGCCCTCGTCCTACCTGTTGTTTTTTTATTATTCCATTTGCACTAATCCTAATTGCACAAATAGTGTGTTGTCTGGTTTGTCTAAGGACTGCACTCAACATGGAGCTTTAAGGGAAAGGTTAAAAGTGGTGGGCAAGCTTTCCTCTTCATGGCATATATTCAACTGTCACTTCTCTTTAAGGAACCCTAGTTGGATGCAGCTGATTATCTAGAGGCGGTCCAGAGTTTCAGGGTTCGGTGTCATTAGTATGCTGATGAAACCAAACTCTGTTTTTCCTTTCCACCTAAATCCAAGGAAGCTTCCTTGATACTAACCCAGTGTGTGTCATCCGTAGTGGACTGGATGAGGGTGAACCAATTGAAACAGAGGTGCCCTTGGTCAGTTGGAAGGCAAAAGAGGAAATAGCCAGTGAAGACACAGTTTTGCAGTTTGGGTGTGTTGCTGGACTCAGCCCTGAGTGTGGATGCCCAGGTCTCTGGTGTGGCCAGGAGTGCATTTGCATAGTCAAAGCTTGTGTGCCAGCTGTGCCCATTCCTTGAGATGTCTGATTTGGCCTTAGTTACATCCCATTTGGATTCCTGTAACATGGAATACCTTTGAAAAGTGCTGAGAAACTTCAAGTGGCTCAAAGAGCTGCAGCCAGATTGTTGACCAATCCTTGTTACAGCAGCTTCCCTGGCTACCGGTCTGTTTCCAAGCACAATTCAAAGTGCTGGTTATAACCTGTAAAGCTTAGATCCAAAACCATAGCTTCTCAAAAGAACCTGCCCAAGTTATGAGATCTTTAGGGGAGCCCTTCCCTCATTCCCACCACCTTGACATGCATGTTTGGTAGGGATGTGAGAGAGGGCCTTCTCGGTGGCTGCTCCCAGTCTTTGGAACTCCCTCCCTGGAAAAGCTAGACAGGTTCCCTCCTTGTCCTTTTGCCAGCAATTCAAGACTGTTTTATTCCAGCAGGCTTTGGAGAACTGTTTTTGAAGGAAAGGGCTTTTAATAGTGCTGTGCTATTTTTTTCACTTTTCAAGTATTGTCTTTTATATTTTTGCTTTATCTGTTCTGTTTTAATTTGTGTAAGTTGCTGTGAATCCCGGTCTGGGGAAAAGGTGGTTTATTATTATTATTATTATTATTATTATTATTATTATTTAATTAATAATAACTGAGAGGCTTCTGAGGATCATCCCAAGTTTTAAAAATACCTGTCTAAACTAAAGGGAATTGAAAGTTGCAATGGAACATCAGGCAAGCAGTGACACCATAACAGACGTGCAACAGACGTGGAGTTGCTCTCACTAAGCTGAAAACTGGAAAATGTTTCAAGGAATCGGTGAACATCCTTTGCTCCTTTTATTCAGGGTGGGAGTGGCATATCCCAAACTCATTGGTAAGGAACATAGGAAATCTTATACTGGCTCAGCTTCTGGTCTCTTTCCCCTTCTCAAACATAACCTTGCAACTATAGCCCCTTCCCCCATCCCCAACAAAAATCCTGTGCCATCATTGCCTTGGCCGTGTGAAAAAGTGAAAAAATATTGGGACATGATATATAACGAAATGAAAAAACTATTTAAATACACTTTCCCAAAGAAACCAGATGCATTTTTGCTAGGGAAAACAGGGGATGAATTAAAAAAGGAAGATTGTAAACTATTCATGTACACAACGACCGCCGCTAGAATCTTAATGGCTCAGAAATGGAAATCCCAAGAAATCCCAACTTTAATGGAGTGGCAGACAAAAATGTTTGATTCCATAGATTTGGTGAAATTGACTTATAAGATTTGGAACCAAAAAGAAGCAAAGTTCGAAAAGGATTGGAGTAAATTTGTTGAATATATACGGAGTAATTGTAAGAATTTAAAAACTGTAGCAGGATATCTTGTGATGTGGATGGAGTGTAAATAAGAAACTATAAGAAAAGATTTGAGACATGAAAACCGTTGAAGGGATGGAGGGAAGTCCAGGCGTAATAGGCGCAGGGTAAGTAAGAAGGCATACAAATTTTTGAATGTAAGAGTATTTATTTTATTTGTTGTTGTTACAAAAAAGCAATAAAAAGTATTTGGAAAAAAAAATCCTGTGTCATCATTGCCTTGGGTGGGGCTGGCCTGCCCACTTAATGCCGGCACGGCCATGTGACAGTGGCATCACATGCTGAAATGGGTTGGACTGAAGTTGTCACGTGGCTACAGCAAAAGTTGCTGGGATAGCAAGATCAGGCATTATCTGTGGCACATGGGCAGCATGTTCTTGCTCCATTCTTGTGTGGTTGTGCTTTCAAATCCCCACCATAGTGCTGCTGCCAGACAGAAGAAGCAGTCAGTATCCTTAAAGCGGTGGTTTTCAACCAGTGTGCCATGGCTTTGAATTATGGTCAGGGGTGCCGTGGGCAACAGTGGCCTCTATCCCTCTTTCCTTCCCTGCTCTGATGCCCTCTTGTATCTCTGCCTTCCAAATGCTTGTGCAGCTGTTTGTTGCAGCAGCCTTGGCTACATGCTCCGCAGGTGAATGGTGGCTCTGGGGCTGGCCAGGGAGTGCTGATTGCCAGGAGGTGAGACAGCCTTGGAGTAAGCAAGCAAGTGGGTGAGGGAGCCCAGCCAGCTAGTCCACAAGCCCTTGCTATTGGGAATGGACAGACAAGTCACATGTCCCTCTCTTTGGGGCGGGGGGGGGACTAAGAGACCAGGGACAGCAGCAGCACTGCCCAGAGGTCTCCCGAGGAGAGGAGAGGAGACAGAGGAGAGGGTGTTCGAAAAAGGGTGAGAGGCTGCCAGCTCTGTGGGGAATTGGTGACATAACATGTCTCCTGAACCCCACAAGGATGCCGCAGGAATAATGTAGTTAGTTAAGGGAGCTGTGGACTAAAAATAAAAATGAAAGATGAAAACCTCTGCCTTAAAGGAATGAACCCTAGTTCTCAGTGGCATGACACAAGCTTTGCATGCAGAAAGTGCCTCCAGCTAGGGCTGGGATGGGTCTTCTGTCTGAGACCCTGTGTGGACAACCCTGGGCTAGATGGACCAATGGTCCCACTCAGGAGAAGACAGCTTCTTTTGTTCCTAAGTTCCTTCTCTAGCTAGAATTCAGCATAATAGATGCAGGGTTGCCACTGAAAGCAGCATGTGGAAGTTGGTCTGACTCAAGTGAACAGCACAATTGATACTCACTTAAAAAAATAAATGCCACCAAGGCAACATGAGAACAGGCCTTTTCAGTGGTGGCTCCACATTTGTGGAATTCTCTCTGCAGGGAGACTTGCCTGGTTGGTGCCATCATTAAATATATTCAGGGACCAGGCAAAAACCTTCCTTTTTTACAAGACCTTTGGCTTTTAAATATGGCCTTTTAGAGTGGGTGGGATGTTATAATGTGATGATGATGATATGCCAACCAAAAATACA